AATTGATAGGCCTTTTAAAAGTAATTTATCTATTTACTACTAAAATTCTTGTGTTTATAACTTTAACTGAGCAACATTGCCTATCATAGGGCAAAATCTTTTTAACAAAGGTACCTCAAACACAACAGTGGTGGGACTTATCTCTGGGGGGCGGGATGAGTCTGCCTACAGAGATGAGGTGGACCGGTTGCTTTCATGGTGTGGAGACAATTACTTGGTCCTCAACACCAATAAGACCAAGGAGCTTATAGTAGATTATAGAAGGAACAGATCATTGCTTATCAATGGAGGCCGAGTGGAGCAAGTGGCCAGTTTTAAGTTTCTGGTTGTTACCCTAAAAGAGGACCTGACCTGGGGTGCCCACATTGCAGCCCTGGTCAAAAGGGCCCAGCAGATATTATACTACCTGAGACTTCTCAGAAAACAACAACTGAATGAAAAACTGCTGGTGACCCTCTACCGCTGCACCACAGACAGCATTTTAACATACTGCACCTCTGTATGGTTTGCCAATTGCACAGTGGCAGATAGGAAAGCACTCCAGAGGGTTAATGTCATTGCCCAGAAGATCATTGGTTGCCCTCTCTCCTCTTTGGAAGAGCTTTATAGCTCCCGCTGCCTTAAGAAAAGTCAAAACATTCTCAAAGATCCATCTCATCTTGGGAACTCTTTTTTGAAATATTACCATCTGGCAGACGGTACAGAATAATAAAAACAAGGACAAATAGGCTGAAAAACAGCTTCTATCCCAGGGCAGTAGCTCTTTTGAATTCTGCTGTATAGTGCAGTGTTGGTGTGGTGTCGGGGGTTTTCAGTTCAATGTGTGAAGGGTGAAGGATGTGTGTTTGTGTTTATTTTCATGGTCATGGTCATGATGTGCACTGAAGATGGTGTTTGATTTCATTGTACCAGGTGCAATGACAATAAACTAAACTAAACTAAATGGGTTAACTTACAGAATATGTCCAAAACCTGAGACCCATGACTCCTATGGAATTGAAATACAGCAAATTTTATAAATATTTTATGACATAGAAATTATCATAAAGTATTTTATGACATATTGCAAAATGTTATAAAATGTTTTTGGCTCAATTCCTGCTACTTGACTATGCCGAACAGTTCAACATGGGCTAATCTCAAGGCAGATACATCTCTGAATATCCCCCTGAATTTTTATGAACTTTTCTAGTACATTAGAGGCTGTACCATTGTTAAAGGCATTAAGGAATGTGATAAAAAATATATCTGAAATGCTAAGCCAGCAGATCATGGGTTGTCTAGTATATATAACATGCAGCTTTTCATTTGACACACCACTTACTTATTTCTGCAGGGTTATGTATGGGAGGAGTAAAAAGTATTATTCTGTTTACATGTCATTGTCTTGGTTTAAAGGCAGGGGTCCCCAACCTTGAGCCCTTTGGAACCAGGCCTTGGAAGTGGCGGGCAAGCCCACACAAGCGAGCATGCATCCCCACTTGCATAAGCAGCGGGCAAGCAAGTGTGCATCCCATTTGCATGAGTGGCGGGTGTGCAAATGGAGCTGAGTGCACACATGCTTCCCCACTACAGAACTATCCCCTCCCCCCTGGCTGTTCTGCAAAGCCAGAAAGATTGGGGAACTCTGGTATAAGGCATCTAGATGAGATAACCTCTGTGGAAGAATTATGTCAAAACTGCTGAAATCTAGGGTTATACTTGTCTAGCACAGTTTTGTTGCCAAAATCAGGCATAAACTCGGAAGGAAATCCATTTCCCCCCAAATAAAGTGAAATCTGATCACCTATCAGGTCCCCTACCATATTCAAACATCTTGGTCTGGAAGTCTATATTGACCACTGTTCTATAATTATTTAAAACTTCTGGATCAATTTTTTTTTACCAGTGCTTCCATTGGACACCTTCCTACTAGATGTAACTAGAAGAAAGGCCCAAGTGCATCTGAAAGGATGAATTATCAAATATCAAGGTAGTTGTGTTTGAAAGTAAAATAGAATAATTTATTGCAGGCTATAGATAGGATTAGGGTTAGTATACACATTTATGTATTTTTATCCTACCTTTTTTATTTTTATAGATAACTCAAGGCAGCATATGTAATACTTCTTCCTTCTCCTATTTTTCCACATCAACCTTGTGAGATGGGCTGAGCTGAGAGAGAGTTTATACCTAAAACAGAACTAGAATTAATAGTTCCCTAGGTTCTAACTTGGTGTTTAATCACTAAACTAAATTAGCTTTCCAAAATCATTCTCTCAAAAGTTATTCATACAATAAATAGTTTGCGGGCAACAAATATACAGGAAGTCTTCAACTTATGACTATAATGAAACCTGCCAATTTCAGTCATAATAGTCATAAACTGAGCCATCACATGACCCGATTTAAAAACCGTTCTTTGTGGCAATTGTTAAGCAAACGCTGCAATTGTTAAGTGAATCTATTCTTTGCTTTGAAGCATTTTTACTGAAAGCCAGAAGTAACCACCTGTTTTCAGCAAAAATTGTGGTCCACACGAGATGCGACCACAGGATTCTGCAAGCCTGAATGCCCAAAATAAAACTTTGGAACCAGGTCATAAGAATCTTTCGGGGTAGAGTCCATTGTAACTTTGAACTGTGTCGCTGATTACAAATCAAGGATGACCTGTATTCCCTATTAGCTATCTATGTTTCTGAAGGAACAAGGGATGAGTTTACATTCTGCCAGAAAGGTTTAAAGTCTGTCAAAGCTATTGGTGGATTTCCCTAGCTTAGTTTCCTTTCATGTCAAGTGTCAACCACAGGGAGAAAAAACACCCACCAACTGTTTTCAGCATTTGGGCAAGGGCTATCATTGGAAGGAACCAAGTTTTAACACATGGCTAGACCCATAGGCTTAGCCATCTATCAAAACTTGGTACAAAGAGAATTGAGTAGACCAGAGGTGGTATTCAGCAGGTTCTGACCAGTTCTGGAGAACCAATAGTGAAAATTTTGAGTAGTTCAGAGAACTGGCAAATACCACCTCTGACTGGAAATTTTACAGTATCCTTCCCTTGCCACGCCCACCAAGCCATGTCCACAGAACCAGTAGTAAAAAAAATTGAATCCCACCACTGGAGTAGACCTGCCCAGAAATGTAGAATATTTTCTGCCTTACTCAACAGTCTTCCTCCACCTCTGCAGAACAGGCTCTTGGTTTTCAGGACATCCTAAAGCTACCTGGAAAAACAACAGAGGCTCTTCTGTTTTATTGGGTATTTTTTCCTTACTGCTTAAATCAGGAGCTGGGTTTCTCCACCCTTTTCCCTGCAGTCCTGCTCCACCCTTTCAGTCAGCCACAAATTGAAGATAGACTCCCAGCAGGAGGTAGAAGAAACAAATCAACCCACCACCAATCATTGTGAGCCAGTCCCTAAAATAGCAAATGAGTACCATAGAAATAGTCCGGTGAAGTGAGGGAGAACTTCTGAATTTAAAAGTAGGCCTGAAAAACGCTGCCATTTCCTGAGAAAGCTATATGGTAAAACAGGATTCTCTGGCTTCAAATCACTGTTCCCTGAAGTTTTTTGGTGTTTTTTTTGGGGGGGGGGGGGGGGGCATAAAATAATAGAGTTGGAAGACCTTGAATGCCTTCTAATCCAACCCTATTTCAACACTTTTATATCAAATGGTATAAGGAGACCTTATACCATTTCAGGTAAATGGTTGTCCAGTCTCTTTTTGAAAGCCTCCAGTGATGCAGCACTCACAACTTCTGAAGGCAAGCTGTTCTATTGGTTGATTGCTCTCACTGTTAGGAAACTTCTTAATACTAGGTTGCTTCTTTCTTTGGTTTCCATCCATTGTTTCTTGTCTTGTCTTTTGGTACTTTGGAAAATAGTTTGACCCCCTCATCTTTTGCTGAAGGATGCTTGCAAATTGAGATAGGTGGCTCTTTACCCAATACATTTCTATTCCCATAAAGCTGATCAATGTGTTTGGAGCCTGACAGGTAAAGAACCATATTTTCCAGTCAGCTAGTAAATTTACTATTAATTAATAAGTAGCAGAGATGGGAGGGCTGTACCCTGAATTGGTGTGAGAGAGACGGCTTTCTGTGCCCTGCTTCACTGTGCAGATGTACAGTGTGCAGATTTATTTCTCCTGTTGTAGTCAGCTTCGGATCAGGCTGTTCCAGGTGTCTGTTTGGGGGTTCAATTTCAGAAACCTGGGAAGAATATGGGAAGAGCAAAGCTGGAAAGAACCCAACTGCTAATCCAAAAGCAGAATGGAAAACAGATGCAGGGTCAGAGGTGATGGGGCACAGCTGCCAAAGCCTAGAGAGGCCAGTATAAGTAGATAGGTCTCAACTATTGCCCATGTCACTAAGTATATTGTTAATGTGGCCAAATATATATTAATAAAAGAGGAAAAACACTACTTTAAAACAAGCAGTTAAAAATGACCCTAGCATCTCTTTGATGTGTGCTGAAGATAAGATGGAGACAAAGTCATAGAACCCTTGACTTTGAATAACCAAACCAGCAGAATGTGTGCTCTGAGTTTAATGGGCCTTACTTTTAAAGAAGTAGACATGGAAATGGACATGGGGCCTTAAAAACAAAAAGAAAAGAAAAAAGCAGATGGCACTTAAATGGTTTCTGTTCATGTATTATTTGTTATGTATGTGATTGCAAAGTAAAAGAGGGTGTGTATGTATGCATTCAGAACTGATTATTTTAACATGACTTTGATTATGAAAGGATTTTCAATCTTGCCTTTATCTAGTAGTGGGATTCAGCCAGTTCGCACTAGTTTGGGAGAACCAGTTGTTAACTTTTTGAGCAGTTTGGTGAACTAGTTGTTGGAAGAAATCATTAGGGCAGAAAACCTGTTACATTATTTGAATCCCATCACTGCCTTTATCGGGTTCATAGACAGAATGCAACTGAGACTTTCTAATTTTGTTTTTAAATTGACTTCTTTTTTTTTCCACTTTAAATGTGACAGTAACGTTTCTTTTTATATTTTTAGGTAAATCTGAACATTCACATTTTTCTGAAACAAAGGTAAGAATTTATATGAAACACAATATGAAGCAGAGAGTTCTTCCTTCCTTCCTTCCTTCCTTCCTTCCTTCCTTCCTTCCTTCCTTCCTTCCTTCCTTCCTTCCTTCCTTCCTTCCTTCCTTCCTTCTTTCCTCTCTCTTTCCCTCTTTCTTAATGCAAAAAAAATACTACATGGATACTACATACAGCAGTTAAAATTCTGGAGAGCAGATAGAAACATTAATAATGATTATTCTTATAGCTCCGATTGTTGTCCTTCAGGGACATTTTTAATAACATTGATTTACAATTTCAATCTGACCAAATGTGATTAGCTGCAATAAATACAGCTGAAGTCAGGAAGTCATACAAGGAGTCTTTGCTTAACGACAGCAATTGAGACTAACAACTACTAAGTGTTGCAGTAATAAAGCATGACAGTTACATGACTGTTAACTTACAAAGGCAGTTGCTGCTGCCATTGTTAGGCAAATCCCAGGTAGTCATTAAGCGCAATGTCACATGATAGCCTGTTGACTTTCCTAAAGCCTTTGCTTATTGGAAGTGAAAGTCACAAATAGCAATCACATGACTGCCAAACTCTGCAACAATCATAATTGATAAACAGTTGCCAAACGCCCAAATCACAATTATATAACTGCAGTACAATATGATGTTCACTATTATGAGGACCAGTCCTACATCTCATTTAGTGCTGTTACCTATTTTTCTTTTTCTTTGTATTTTTATAGGTTGATAAAACAATAAAACTTACAGAATTTGTATTCAATGCTGTCATAACTTTGAACAGCCCCTGAATGAGTAGTATATGCTTAGAATTAAAACATTTTAAAATGAATGTTAATATTTTAAAATATAAGAATATGATCAAATATGGACTACATGCAATATAGTCAGCACAGGTGTTCTGTTAAAACTTTAAATATTGGGTGTATGTATGTGTGCATCTTAATTAAAGTAATTCCCATATTTTTGTCCTAAAGTCTTTAAGCAGATGTGTCATAAGGCCATGGGCCACATCTGGCCTGCAGAGTGCTTAAATCTGGCCCACAATACCAGCCTGGAAATATCAAAGGACTGGCCTGCAGTACCTCTGCCAGCCAAAATGGGCTATGGGAAGGCCGAGGGCACCCACCCCCCCGCATCCCATTTTTGGCCTCCCCACCGGGGAGGATGCTGCAGGAGGCGTCCGTCCAGTCTCAACCCCTATTCACTCCCCCCCGCTGGCCTGTGGAGAAGAACTACAGTGGTGATCTAGCCATCGAAGAAATTCAGTTTGACATCCCTGCTTTAAGGGAAGGGAGGTGTTTTCTTCTACTATTGCAGTAGCTGTAATTTATTTATTTATTATTAATTAATTCTATATGCTGCCATCTCACTAACGAGCAAGTAGGGTGACTTAGCATACAATTAAAAAAATATGCAAACATGTTAAAACATTACAATTAACAAAAAATTTGCTAAACTAGTACATGAAAGGGACGAGGTGGGACGTTCTTAATCCTGTAGCCAACTCCAGTGTGGAATGCCCCCATCACGGCCCCGAGCCAGTTGGCACTGTCAGGTTTTTAGGCTCTTCCAGAGGCCGGGAAAGTGGGGGCAGATCTCATCTCTAATGGCACCACATTCTAAAGGGCAGGAACCATACCACAAAAGGCTCTTACCTGGGATCCTGCCAGTTGAAATTTATTGACCAATGGGATCTGCAGCATGCCCTTCCGGAGTGAGTGGGGCAGGTTAATCCCATTGGGGTGAGATTGTTTCATTGCTGCTAGCTCCCTATGTTAATTTGTTCAGCTACTCTTTAATTTAGGATTTAGGTTTGGAATATACTTCTCTTTGGCTACATACATGCCTATAATATGCAATTAGGTAAATAGTGCATGTGTATCCCAAAATATATCAAAAGTAGATTCAATAGATTTGTGCTTAATACTGAAAATTAGATTTCAGTTGGGTTCACTAGAAATATTATGACATAAGGTACAAGAACAAATTGGTTTTTTGTAAGTCTCCCAGATTGATAACATTAGACAGATACACAAATAAAGGATACTGCATTTTTCCTGAGCTCACTTCTCTACAACTTATCAATTCAACCAGTGGAACTACTCTCACTGATGTCATTTAATTGGATCTTAATGAAATTAGTTGAAAAAAAGTTATGCTCCAATTAGTTAAAACATCCATATTAATATTTGACCTGTTCAGAATCTGACATTATTTTTTAAATTTCACAATAGTTTGCAACCATGCAGATGTAATGCTTTATTCATACATTTACCTGTAACTGTGGAATCAGTACAGCTGGCCTAACAAGATATTTGTTGTAGTTTTGAAATATGGAGCAATCAGCAATCTAAATACCTGTATTAATTGCATTATCCAATACTGACTAATTCATATCACAGTGAACTAATTCAGTCATCTAAAAGATTACCAGTGTAATCAAAGAACCAAAATGTTCTTTCTCTGTAGTTGTAGACATTGAACAATACAAGGTACAATGAACTTGATACAAGATGAGACACTTTAAAACATCTACCTGCATGTTCTCCAATTTGTTAACATTTATAAAGCTACAATGTAATATTAAAAAACACTGTTTCTGTTATAATTGTATCAGCAATAGACTTTCAGTGTGCAATTCATGAAAGGTTAATTGTGAAGCTACAATTTTAAATAATATTTGGTTTCTTTATTTGTTGAGGGAGTTCACATATCCAAATAGGAAAAATAACAAACCTTCTGTTTGAAGAGTGAAACAGTTTTCTCTGACCTGTACATAATGTTCTCAATAATGTTGAAGGAAAGTCATGTGCTAGTAAAGAGAACAATGTATGTAGTTAAATAATTGCTTTCATTATTTAGTTTAGAGTGGTCTAAACTATTATTACAGGAATGTAATATTTTAATATGGAATATTATGATAATTTAATGTTGAATAGAACCTGAATAAAATGGATGGTTTAGTCATCTATTTGCCAACTTAGAAATAATTTGCACTGAATTTCAATTGGTCTAATTCCTTAGCATGTTTGTAGTGTAATTTATGCTATGAATTAATTAATATTGATATTGTATTTCATACAGTAATCCATTCAGTTTGGATTGATGTTTCAGAAGTTTGCAAAGCAGAATATTAAGTGGCACCAAAATTTCTAACATGGCAGGGTAAACATAATTTGCTATGACAGATGATATTTGAACTTTTTAAAAAAAACAAGCTGAAGGAATAAATAGCCCTGAGGAAAAATTAGAGAAGCAAGAATTTTGGCCCAAAACAGCTTTTTTATTGTTTACAAGGAAAAACATGCGTTGAGGCTTTGTTATTTTATTTATGAATATGAGAACTTCAGAGAAAGAACAAGCCTATGGACAATGCTGTATTATATTGTTTACGTGTGGGAGAATGGTATGCATGATTTTGTATTACAGCATGAAACGTGAAAATAAAAGACCATAATATAATTAAAAGGTCTGTTTTCTAATACTTGTTTATTAAAGATATAACAAAGAGACAGAGCCCTTCCTTATATTAGTTTTCTAATTATCTGCATTAAAGTCAATTATCTTTATTAAACTAACTTAAATCTATCATTTAAATTTCAGTCCCTTTAAAACATCAAAGAAATAGGACGGGCAGCTATGAAAGAGAGAATGAGAGGGATGTTTGTCCCATTTCCCTTCAATTAGTTCTAATTTCCATCCTACATTCTCTTCTTGGAACTTTCCCTTTCATTCCCACTTTTCCTCTCTGAACCTAAATCTCTAACAGTAGACTCTTCCTGTGTTATGTGGAGTAACCTTGCTGTGTTCTACTCAACTGAGCTTTATTATGTCTTCTCAGCAGAAGACAGCTGAAACATAGAAAAAGCACAGTTCCACATGTAGACTTCAAAGGAAGAATGATTGAATAACATTGAAAGTAATCTGGTTACAGCCTGGTTATTCAAAGCAACAAACAAAAATTAAACACATCCACATTATCCAATTTCAGTACTTTGAAAAGTACAATCAGCAAGATTGTTGGGTAGAGGGCAAGCTGCATATTAGAAATTCATTAGTTAATGACTGGATTATATTGTAATACGTTTTCCTTATATAATATTGATTTGGTAAGAGTTTTTTTCTTGTTTAACTACTGATTTAATATAAGCTAGTCTTTTGCAATTTGCTGCTTTTCAAATATTTTGGACTATAACTTAAATAAGATGCAAGATGCAAAATGACTGTTTACCTAACACCTGATATAATCCCTTTTCAGGTTATAGAATCACTAGGAATTATCATTTATAAAGCATTGGATTATGGCTTGAAAGAGAATGAAGAGCGAGAGCTAAGCCCTCCCTTGGAGCAACTGATTGATCATATGACTAATACAGTGGAAGCAGATGCAACCAAAGATGAAGGTTATGAAGCTCTGGATGAAGCTGCAGATGATGAACATAAAGACAATATTGAAGTTATACAGTCTTATAGAGATGTCATGAAGGTATACCATAGTTTTAATCTATCCAATGTTGATATTTAAGGAACAGTTAAAGTAAATGACACCTTTTATGTTTAGGTAGAGCACTGACATTGTGGTTGTCTAATAAAGTAAGAGTTTACCTAGATATTATAGCATTAACCCTGTTCATCCTAATAGTATATTCTAATTTAAAATATTATTTTCATCTTATATATGTCTTGGCACAAACCTGGTTTTTGTTTTTGTTTTTAATGCATTTCACTTTCCAAGAGTCTATTGTTTTCTACTAGTCATTCCAATGCAAGCCTTCTTGGGAATTTCATCACTGCATTAATGTAATATTCTTCTACACCCCACACATTCTTAGCACATTCCATTTTCATATAAACACATACCAGAGAGAACTGTTTATCTCAGTCAGATTAAAATCCAAATGATTTTTTTTTTTGCAATATGCAAAGTTGGGTACATAAAAACTATTTTTCTGTAAATAGTCCTTTATTTAACCTTATTTATTTAGCATTGTAAAGTTACCTTTTAATTCAGCATGAAAGTTTTTTTGTCAAAATACAATATTCACATCTTAAGTAGTTACTATCTCTAGATAGTTATTAACAGAGCCTTTGAGTGATTCCTAGTGACTTTCTTCCATACTTAATGACCAGTTGCTTGGCAACTGTTTGAAGTTACAACCACATACACCCCCAAGCTACTTACACCTTGGTTCCAGAGTTCTGACAGCTGCACACCTCATCACAGTCAGACAGCTGCAGTCAATGACTGCATTTTAGGCACCTGACAATCAGCTCAATTTTGTGGCCAATTGCAGCATTCCTTGAACCCATGACCACAATTTTTGACGTTGTTTGCCAATTTCTGACTTCTTTGTCTGGGGTCCACAAAAAATAGCCAACAAGAATATGATTCATTTAATTATTGGCAATTGTTTAATGACCACAGTGTTCAACTAACAACTGCTGCAAAAAAAGTAATAAAATCTGATCCAATCACAAGGGTACCTCAACTAACGGACATCATGACAGAAAGTCCAGGCTCCATTATGGTCATAAGTCAAACCTGCCTATATTGTAGGCATGGTTTTCTATTGCTTTCTCCTTTGACATTTCTTTCAACTTTAAAGGTTATTCAGTAGACCAATATCAAACAGATACAATCCTGCTTAGCTTGTTGAGATCTACCTGGTTATATGCCATCCAATGGATGCCTATTATATACGATGTAGGAGAAGATTTGGGTAAAGAAATGTCCAATTTCACCTGATCAAAAAAAACCTTCTACAATACTATACCATAGGTTACAGCATATAGAATTTGGGTTTGTGTAATATACTTGCTGTCTATATGGCTGTGCCACAATTAGAAAAAAACAAAATATGTGCATTTATGGGAAAGTTGCATTGCTGTAGTTTTGGATAATGTAGGAAAAAAATGGTGAAGCATTGTCTTAACCAATAACACAGCACCATCTGGAAACATTCCTTACGCATACCTCAAATGTTCGTTAGGCTTTTATCCACAAATATATTAAATAACCAAGAGCACTCTCCCCCATCCCTACCCAATTTTCAACCATTCACTAAGCATTCCTTTCTGACAGATGGTTTATCTTCATCATATGCTGCACCTACTATGTTCCGCAAACAACCATCAGTTCCATATTTATACAAAAATCTGGATTGCAAACTTCTCCCTAGCACAATGACACAAATGCACTTGTGAAATGTTAACTTTAAAAACAATTATAATTTGCTTCATTGTTTGCTCAAATCATGCCTATTTTCTCCGTAAGAGAATTACAGGTGTTTTTAAACCATTATTGTATTACTTGTGGTAGAAGATTTCTGTATATATATGTGTAGTGAGTTTGGATAGCTTTGATGGTTTACAAAATTATATTCAGATAAAGTAATGATAAAATTCCTAAAAAATAAAAAATTCTCAAAGCTTGTTTGAAAAGCCACTTTTTTCCCCATCTTGCAGTAATAAGAACGTGTTTGCAGATAGGCGCTATGTTCGCCCCTCATATGAACTAAAGCACTTTCAAAAATTTTTATTCTGAAGTGCTGCACGCATAAATACTACACAGTACCAGGCTAATCTTTCTTGAATGCCGTTTTAAATTCAGGGTTGTTTTTTGTTTTTTGACTTATTGAAGAAAGCTGTGCTAAGCTGTACAGGTAGTCCTTGACTTACAACCAGGGGTGAGATTCAAAATTTTTAGCAACTGGTTCTGTGGGCGTGGCTTAGGTGGTAGGCATGGTGTGGTGGTCATATGACTGGGTGGACATGGTTTGGTGGTCATGTTATTGGCTGGGTGTGGCCAACTCAATATCACATTGAGGCACGCATCTCCTCGCCTGGCCTCTCATGACTGTGGGAATGCTGCAACAGTTGTAAGTGTGAAAAATGGTCATAAGTCACTTTTTTCAGTGCCATTGTAACTTTAAATGGTCATTCCACACAAGTAAAGTACCAGCAAAGGACGGGAAAAAAATTCCAGAGAAGTTCCTGAGACAGGAAGTCTAGTCCTGCCAAGAATGTAATAAGGGTTAACAGAGGCAGTTTCTATAAGCAACACCAGAATGTTTCCTTCCTGCCTTCCTTACAGGATTAGGCCAGTAATTTCTTCTAACAACCGGTTCTCTGAACTGCTTAGAATGTTAACAACCGGTTCTAGCGAATAGGTGAGAACTGGTAGAATCCCATTCCTGCTTAGAACAGTTCACTTACTGACCCTTCAAAGTTACAACGGCATTGAAAAAAGTGAATTTTTCATACTTATGACCATTCCAGCATATCACATTATTTACATTCGGATACTTGACACTGACTCACATTTATGACGGTTGCAGTGTCCTGGGGTCATATGATACACTTTTGAAACCTTCTGACAAGATTTCCCTTGAGTTCACAACTGTGATATTGCCAAATTTATGGACATTAGAACTAATCTTCCTCATTTCTAAATCACTTTTTGGATTTTATCATCTTCATAGTTAGAGACTTTGGAAAAGATAATCGCTTCTCTGGCAATTTTATTTTTGGAGCTGCATTTAAATTGAAACATTGGAAATTTATACCAATACTTGCTTGACTTTCAAAAAGTTGGAAATTAAAGAGGCTAAAATATTCATATAGAAAATAATTTTATTTTTGAAACACTGAACATTGAAAACTTATTTTTTAATGAATTTGGGTTGTGGGATTATAGCCTGAAAGCTTCAGACTGGTATTGCTCCATTTCTTTTAAATCTACCTAGCCACTGATTGATTGGATTTATAAACAAAGAATTTCTTTTTTTTAATGAATAGAAAGAACTTCTTGCAAGAGAAAGCTATTAATTAAAAAAAAACCTTAAAGGTTGTTTACCAGACCTAGGCATTTTACGGCCTGCTGGTCACATCTGGCCCTTTGGCTTCCCTATCCAGCCCTTGGCAGAGGTGGGGCTGGGAGCGAGGGTGAGGAGTTGGGTTGGTGGCAAAGGTGAGAGTGAGGAGGGAATAGCGGCAGCCCTCCACAAAAGTCCCAATTTCTCATGCGGCCCATTGGGAAAATTAATTGCCCACCCCTGCTTTAAACCAAGTGAAGATCTGGAACTAATTGCAAACAATGTTCAGTCAAAAACAAATCTGGTTTTATTAATACATGTATTCATGGGCAAATAGCTCTAGATATTGCTAAATAATGTATATATAGTTAAACAACATTTGTTTTTTATTTTCTTGGATGAAGAATAATTCAAGTATGGTTTAAAATATTTTGTGATATTGAAAAATGAAATTACATATTAAAACTATAAATCAGGCATTTGTATTTTCTCTTGTAAAACAAAACTCATTATGCTATTGTAACATGTTTGCACAGCTTTGCGCTGCCCATCTGCCAACCCAGTCAGATGCACCAAATCACTATCAAGCAGTATGTCGCGCACTATTTGCTGAAACAATGGAGTTGTACACATTCTTGGCCAAAATTAAAAGTGCCAGAGAGGTAATGTACAAATATCTTAGTCCTTTGGCTTATTTGCCTTTTGAAAATGTCATACATTTCTGTCCTCTAGTATTAATACTCTGAAACAATTGTTTTCGTAATTATAAATATTGTACTTCTATTTTGGTGAATTATGTTTGTCATAATTATTTTTATTTCAGTGGCACCAGATAATTATAACTTAAATCTGTCAATATTGGTACTGGGCTGTTTCACTACTGTCATATTTATTTGGATTTTAGTTTTTAAATGGATATATTTAATATAAATTGATTTTGTGATTTGAAAGTAGATTCAAGCTTTTCACTTCTCACCTTCTTATTCCTTTAACATTCTTACTATACCTTTCATATCAGTGTGTTAATATATCTTCTTTATTGTGTCTGTTAAAAACATTGTTTGGAAGTGACAATTGCCAAAACAAATGTGTGATAATTATAATCTTTTTAAATGTGAGTTTTAAACAGTGACAGTGCTGATGTTGTTTCAGGTGATGCTAAATTATAATGCATAATATCCTTTATCACTGATCATACATGATAGTATTAATATATAGTTCAGCAATATCTGTAGGGCACCAATGTTATTGTAAACAAATATTTTTTTTCTTTTAATTGATAGAATTTAAAGAAAATGCAGGAAATGGACAAAAAAGGAAATGAGGACTCTAGCACTGACCTTGATGAATTAAAAACTGCTGATTGGGTAAGATTACTTTTTTTAATAAAGTAATGGCTTTATATTACAACCTTAGAGACAGACAACACAATTTATACCAAATATTTATATCGAATGTATACAAAGATGCACATATCTAAAATCCATAAAACCATGGCTAATATTATATCTGTTCTTTCTCTATAAAGTAAATAAAGAATTTATTGTCATTGAAGTGAAGAAACATGATTCTAGGCGCTCTGTTAATTTCAAGACATGCAACTGGTTATGTGATTATGTGACAGTGTAATTAACTGCTTGCTTGTTTATAATCTTTCCTATCCTGCTTACATGCTTACAAATAAATATGTGGCTCTAAGTTAGCTAAAATGGAAATTAGTTGGAAAAATATAATTGTCACAATATTGAATATAATAAATTCTAGCTTATAAAAACTGAGGCATCATTTTGCTTTATGATACGTGTAGATGTTATAATGAGTATTTAAGTATAAGTGTTTAAGTTTAGTAGAGTTTAAAATAACAATAATACAAACTTTGTTACATATTAACCCTTTATTCTTAACTATTTCAGGCACAGTTTTGGGTTCAAGTTATGAGAGATTTGCGAAATGGTGTAAAACTTAAAAAAGTTCAAGAACGTCAGTACAACCCTCTGCCCATAGAATATCAGCTCACTCCATATGAAATGTTGATGGATGATATTCGATCCAAGCGCTATACTTTAAGAAAGGTTATGGTAAGCTCTGTCAAAATCAATTTTATTATTCTTTGTATAGTCTTAAATTAGGACCACCAAAAAGGACCAAAAAAGAGAACTATTTTAGTTAACTTGAAAACCTAATGCCTTCTGGAGGGGTATTATATTGTTTTGTTTAATTTTTTTCCCTTAAAATATTAGAATCTTAGTTAATTTAACAAGCTATTTTGAAAATCACTTCGACTTCAATAAAAGTTAGTATGTTATAGGATCTGCTATTTGGAAGAAAAAGGACCGTATTTATTTAGGCACATAAAAAACTAGCTGCGTAGAATTTTGTATTGTATCACATAGATTTAACAAAAATTGCTGTTCAGCAGGAACACTAGTTTATAAAATTGAAGTTCATTTTATTTTATTGTATATATGAAATCTATAAACCCTTTAACAAGAAATTTGGATAGCTTCTAGGTATCCCTTCCTGTGACCATTGAGCACAGGATAACTTCTAAAGCTAATGCTTTATATAGAGTAATCTAAAGTGCAAAGATCCATGAATTCAATTTCCGAAGACCTTTTAAATATCTGGGTAGCTATATTTTACAGGTTTCAGATAAACTGGTTACATAATGCCCGCCTTCCGGTGGTCAATGGGCTGCATTTCAGTAACCACTGCAATTATGTTTGTTTTAGAATTCATTGCCCTTTTGGATTGCATGATACTGATGTGCAAGCAAAATAATAGATATTTTTCTTTCTCTCTTTTAGGTCAATGGGAATATTCCTCCACGATTAAAAAAGAGTGCCCATGAAATTATCTTGGACTTTATCCGGTCTCGACCTCCATTAAATCCTGTATGTAATAAAATGGGGAGAGGGGAGTTAATGAAAATAAGAGATTTTCTATACCTTTTTGCCTTAACCATATTCAGGTTTCTTCTATTTCTTTTCCCAGTCTTCTCTAAAATATAGGAAACACAGATTTTTCATATGTTTTGTAGCATTAGCATCCTCAAGATGCATTTATATAAAATTAATATACATTAGAGGAATTATTTTGAAATAAAATCTCATGTATTTTTGCTGTTTCATACCAGTCATCTCAGCATCCTTTATGAAACTGTCTTATGCACTTGACGTCTCTGCTAGAGCTATTTCTTTTAGCCTGTTGGTTTTGTCATATATTCTGACATGAGATCTGTCCCTTATCTGAAATGTGACTTTGTGTTTGTGTGTGTTCCCATTAGGGTGTATCAGATACACATATAACAGAATAACTGTGATGACCCAGAGTGTAGCACAAACTTAACAAAATCCAAAACGTAAATAAATGTCCTTTAATGCCTCCAACTTGGCCCCACTGTTCAATAATTCTCAGTTGGAGGTAAAACGTACTCAAAAATAGTCTTCAAAAGAAAGCAATACAGTCCGAACTTAATGAGCAGATAGAGGTGAAATAGAAAACCAAACAAACTACACAACAGACCAGGATAAGTAATTACCAAATTAAAGGAGATAACAAGGCACAGTCTGTTAGAAGGATGCCAACCAAGATAACTTCAGCCCAAAATAACACACGCTTTGCTTCTGGCAATGCTGTTTTGTAATCGTCTCTCTTATATACTTAGTCTCCCCAGCTGCAACCAATGAGGAGGATCATGGCCGCTTCCTCTCTCGTAAGCCAAGTTGTTGCCTTCTCCGTTCCTCCCTGCATGTCCTAGGATGCAGAAGGGATGGGCCTGGTTCTTCCTCTGACTACCCAGCCGGCCTCTGCCCTTCCCCAGCCTCCACCACAACCTCCGGAGCCACACCTCCACTCCCTGTCAGCTGTTCCTCCTCTCCTTCAGAGTCTGACTCTACCAAGGGCATGACAGAACAGAATTGAAAGGGAACTTGTAGGTCTTCTAGTCCAACCTCCTGTTCAAGCAGGAAACCCTATATAATTTCTGACAAATGGTTGTCCAATCTCTTCTTAAAACTTCCGCTACAAAGATGAACAAGCTACTTATTTATAACTGTAGTTCTTTGAGTGGTCATCTGTGCATTGATATAACCTTCCCTCCATCCCACTTATGTCTCTTCTTTGGTCTACAAGAAAGAATTCCTTTTTGACATCAATTCAAGGTGTTAATCAGAAAGCTAGAAAAGTATTCCAGTGGCACGCAGTGGCCAGACAAGGGGTGCTTTTCCCATTTGAAACATAATATTTTTAAGACATTTCTTAGACGGAAGAAGAGTTAGAATATATTTCAGTGAATATGCAAAGGTCGCTTGAAAAACCACAGTTATAATGTTGGCAAGCAATCTATTATTTTTAAATTGTAGCTTAGAAATTTACCTTATTTCAATGGACACTTAATTTAGGTAAATCCATATATATTGATGAACATCTCTTAAGTATGGTCAGTATTTTTCTTTGAGATACGTTATTCTTTCCAGGCATCTGCAAGAAAACTGAAACCAACTCCACCACGGCCTCGTAGCCTCCATGAAAGAATTCTGGAAGAAATAAAATCTGAAAGAAAGCTAAGACCTGTTTCACCTGATGAGATCAGACGTAGCAGGCTAGGTGAGTACTTTGATTTTAATGAAATCTGGTTCATCTCTCTGTGCTCAGGAATTGGGTAGAATGTGTGTGATTTGTCCTTGGATGATAAACCTCCCCAGAATACCAGCAGGTCTAGGCTAGACTGAGAAGATGAAACATACCCTCCCAAAGAAGATAATTAAGTTATCAAGAAAATTGTGGTGCATATATGATGAAACAAGAAAACCATCTGCCCTGTTGTACTGTATGGCACTGAATGCTGGGTGGAAACAATAGGGACCGAAAACTATCTCTATGCCATGGAAATGCGAATGCTCCATTAGATATCAGGCATCTCCCTTCTTGATCACATCACAAATAGCACCAATTTGTGTGGCACCAATTACAGAGAAGATGAGAGAAGGTCAACATGTCCAGAGAGCAGCACCTTCCAGCGTTGCCAAGACCGCCTACCAACTAGAAATCAGTGGCCAGTGACCTCACAGGCGTCCAAAATAGAGATGGTGAGACACCATCAACAAAGACATGCAAGCTGTGGGCCTGCACCCCGGAGACGCAGCTGACCACGCAAAGTGGCATTCAGTGGACCCTGCATCTGCAGAAATGCACTAGGAAGAAGAAGAAGAAGATATGCGATGAAACCTCTAGGAATCAAAATCAACTTGAAGAAAACTTTTCCAAGATGTGTTAACCAAGTTCATTTCTAAAATATGTTATCCATGTCAAATGCCTGAATGATTAATCTCCGTTGCTTACAAAGAAAAATATAATGAAATGGATAAAAGTAAAATATGAAACTTTAAAGGGACTTTTATTGTCTACTGAAATAAACAAAGGCAGCTAATTTAAAAATTAAAAATTAATTCATGTGCAGACTTTAAGCTTATATCTCATTTTGAAAGAGGGAATTGTCAATGGATAAGTGAAGCCTTAATGCCTGTTCTGTTACCTCTTTATGGAACCTCTGGGGTTGAGCTTTCTGCCCAATAAGAGTTAGCATAGATACCTACAGAAATCATATGGCTATCCTTGTTTATAATCTTTTCAGTTCCACAAGCAGAAAAGCAATAAGGCAGAATTGCTGATAGTTTGTAATCGAATTTCTAAGGAAAAGACAATATACTTCAGTGTTCTTTTTGCCTGATTTATCAGAAATCAGGTAAAAATAAGATTATAACTTTCAGCAAGCAACAAGATGAAGCTACTGACATATTCTATGGTTCAAGTTATCTTTAATTCCCATATAAATGCTAGCATTTATATGGGAATTAAAGACAACCTGAGCCATAGAATAGCTGGCTGGATTTTTGGTATATACTATTACAAAATACCTGGATATTTGGTATATACTATTACTTAACAGAGGTTATTGGATTCAATTTGTTTTAAATAAACCATTATTCAAAAATATGAGCAAGGCTATTTCAAACATCAAATGTATTATTTTAGTATCAATTTGTAGTAGAAAATGCACTATCCTAACTCAATGTTGATATGTATTCAAATTTGATAGCCCTTGGTTAATAACTACTGGTAGTGCAATCATTCAAAGTTATGACAGTATTAAATGGGTGGAAATTATGACCAGTCTTTAAAGTTCTGACTATCTGGCTATTGCAATCTGGATGCTTGGCAACAGGATCACACAACAGTTGCAGCATCCTGCAGTTATGCGATCACCATTTGCAACTTCCGGTCAGCTTCCCACAAGCAATGTTAATGAGGAAGCCAGCAAAGAAGGCTGCAATTCATTCTAGTAAGTCTATCCCACCCAGCATCAGCCACCTGCCGTCCTCATGTTGTACCTTACCAGCCACCTTGTACAACCTCTCCCCTGCCTGGCAGCAAGCACCTGAAGCCCCATTTGCCTTCTCACCACATCTTGATAGCTGTTCGCACAGCCTCCCCTGCCTATCAGCAGCCTGCCTGTTGACCTGCTTTCAAACTGCCTGGGATTTTCAGCTTCCTGCTGGCTTCCCCACTGACTTGGTTTTTCTGGATGCTGGCAGGAAATTGCAAGGAGGTCCTTGCTTATTGACCTGCAGACCTCACTTAATGATGGCAATGATGCCAGGATTGTCATTGTTAAGCAATATAGTCATGTGACATCACACTTTATGACCACAACAGTTAGTGATGGAAATTCCGGTCCCAATCGTCATAGACTACATGTATGTTTTCCCATATAATTTTAATATAAAAATATATATGCAGCACTGGTATAGCTTTTATCAGTTTGATTTTAAGAACTAATTGTCAGAAGTTTGACATGCGAATAAGATAATAAGAAAATTCTTCCTCTTGGCAATATTCTTTACTTACTACCTTTTCTCTTTGCAAATGGGGCCTCTCTCCATGTATAAAGCTGTCTCACTTTCTAAGCACATTTTTTTTCACATTTGGAAAAAAAAATCCCCAAACTTTAGTTCTCGCAACTGATTTTCTGTCACATCACAATTCTTTACATAATTGTAATTTTTAGGAGAAACGATAAATACCACAGTAGTGGTGCTTATTCATGCTGTTTTTCTATTTTTCTTAGATGTACCCACATCAGCAGCCTCCCAAAAGCTATTAGAAAGCTGTATAGCGAATGGCAGCTTGGAATCCAAAGCAAAGGTAAATGGCCTAGGTACGAAATTAACAGTGCAGCGGAAGAGACTTTTGAAAGCTCCGACTTTGGCTGAACTGGGTAGCTCAGATTCAGAGGTAAGATGGATAGTAACAATACAGCCCTTCAGTTTAGATTTTTACAAGTAATCCTTGACTTATAATTGGTCGCTTAGTAACACTTCAAGTTATGACGAACCTCCCCAAAAACTACTTACAACCCAGATTTGTCATCCTCCTATGGTCAAGTGATCATATTTTGGGTTCCAGCCTGCATTTACAATTACCATATCCTGCACTCATATGATTTCAATTTATGACCTCAATTTTTATTTTTATTTTGCTGGAAAATAATGTTTACTTTTGGTTTCTGGCACAAAAACACCCATTGTGGACAATAGACTTACTTAACCACCACAATGTTCACTTAATGATCAATGCATTCACTTAATAATTGCCGCATTTGCTTAATGGTCACTGCAAAAATGAGCATAAAATCAGAGCATAAATCCAAGCTAAATTACAGTCATAAGTCGAGGACTACCTGTAATTGGTTCATTTCATTTACTGCTTTTATTGGTCACATTGTGACTTGTTTTGCTTAAAATATGATATAGTACATTTGGTAAAAAATACTTTTCAAATCATTTTGAACAATTCATCCTAATGACCACTGTTAAGATTAAAACCAAATTATAAAATGAAGGTCAAAAGCTGCATGTTTTTGCAAGGCTTAAAACTCATGGGTCTTTGTGATGGCAAATGCAAATTTAGTCTGTGTGTCACTATCCAGTTCTGGCTAGATGTTAGAAAAACAATCTATATGAAATAAATAACCTTTAATTAGGTCATGTTCCTGATGTTGGTAGCATTTTACATTCAGTTGGTCTATTTTGCCATCACTTTACCCTTGGTTGTACAGCATCCCAATATGAATGCTCCTTTAACATAAGTACTATTTATATCTACAGTACACCACTTGAATTGCTTTTAGTTTATGAGGCTTGCACATATGGACAAGAAGCTTATAGCTATCAGCCTATTATATGGCCTCTATAATATTTTCTGCTGTTTGAAGAAATAGTGATATGTTGTTTTCTAGAAGCATTTTCATTAATATGACCAGGTGATCATAAATAGTTCCGTATCCTGCATCATTAATGATTGTGCTATATTTTTCTGCATATTATTTATACTGTTTCCCAATTAAAGAGAAGGGAGACATCTTATTGCCGTATTTTATTATTACCAGGAGGAATCTATACCCAAATCAGCCAGTAGTGGTAGTGTTTCTCCTTCCCAGATGGAAGATGTGTTTCTGGAGACCACATCTGGAAAAAAGGGTGAGTAAAAATGCTCAAAACAAATAAGGTTTCCTGCAACAGTAGAAACATTTTGAACCTGGATGGATTAAAAGAGATTTGTTGTGTATGTGTGTGTGTGTATTATGAGATGAGATGAGATATATATGATACGATGGTACTTTCATTCTAGTTGTATGACATCATTACAGGTACTGTTAAAATATTAATTCACAAAATCTGAACATAACTCTTCCTTATCAAATTTATAGTGCCTCCAAAATTCTTGCCAATATCATCTACACCACAGCCAGAAAGGAGACAACCACCCCAGAGACGACATTCTATTGAGAAGGAAACGCCAACTAACGTACGGCAGTTCTTACCTCCCACAAAACAGAGCTCCAGATCCCTCGTAAGTATTGTAGTAGATCAAATTCAGCATTGGTTGAACATAGTGGTTCCAGCACTGAGGGAAGAAAATCCATGTTTTACATATGATGCGATGAATCCTTAGCTCAGAATTGTGAGACCTTGGAACAGCTCTTGAATTTTATTTCCTGTAAGTTGAAAGGAAGATCTAGCATGAAATAACTCTGAACTTTTAAATTCAGGATTTGAATGCTGTGCCTAATTGCTGATGTTCTTATATAAACTTGCTAATAAAATTAACATATTTCCAGGTAAAATGCCTTCTATATCGTACATGAATATTAATTTTTTGGCTGCTGTTTTTTGCGTATTTTTAATCCGTTATTGAAAGATGGAAAAATGTTTCATATTATGTTTAAAGATCCTAGAATGCCATGTAATCATATAGTATTATTGGATCTATTTAAGGATCAAAAGAAAATACAGCACATTCAATGAGGTGACTTTATCTGAAAGTAGATTCCAATAAAATACAGCTGTTATAAGAGAATGAAGTGCCTATTTTAGGAGCTAGCAGAATACCAAAGCCTGGTATTTTTATAAGTAAGATCAATTTTTTTGTAAAAAGAATTCTTAAAATTGATAAAAGAGTGAAAGATTTCAGGTTTAGGAAGAAGGATGTGTTTGGTCTTAATAAAAAGCCTTCTTGTTCTGCATTGGCTCAAGAGGATCTGATTTGGATGCTATTTTTTAGCATGCTGAAGTTAACTTGCGTTCCACCACTAATTCATAGAGCAGAGCTGCTTTCTCAAGAAATTAAATGTATTAATTTCTATTAATTTCTGTTCTTCTATAAATCTATGACTCTAGCTTGAATTCACTTTCTGATCCTAGATAATCTTAAACTCATTTGTCAGTTCCATATGCAGAGTACAGAACAAAAGCAATTATTTTCTAAGAAATAGCTTTATGCGAATAATGGCTTTGTACATGTGAAAATTCTTTGAAGTATAGCTATGCAGGCATTCAGAAATATAAAAAAACTTGTGTAGCAGTTATTTCTTATGTACTACATAAAAGTTGCTTTTAATGGAGACCCAATTACAGAAAAGTCTTTTCTGTATCATTTCTCATATTTCTGGCATTTCTACTAGATAATGCTGTGAAAAGTCCAGTCTCATCTTACTTTAAAGAAATCATATAGTTTTAGAAGTTGTCTATGGATGTATAAGGCCCATCATGCTTTTTTTCTTAAATGATCCTAAAAATATTATCACCAAAAAAAGTCAGATTATAACTTGGTTTGCTTTAGCAGAAATAATACTATTTTACAATTATATTCTTATTTTAGCCTTTGATATTAAAAGTAGAGCAAAAACTGAATATTAAAAACTTAAAAAAATAAAATAAATAAAATAAAAACTTAAACTACCCGTGTTTTTATAAAACATAATTTTTTTCATAATTGTGGATTAGAAAGTAAGCCACGTGATAATATAAATTAATTATTCCTGGTGTCTTATCTCAAAAAGTAGTTCAGACTAAGAAATTATGGATGCTTTTTCCCAGGGTTTGTACAGCATGATCTCAGAAACAATTTATTTTGGACTTTTTGTCTGTTCTGAGAGGAACAAGCTAGAAAAGTTCTTCATTCAGATAACAAAGGATGGCACTGCCATTTACCAGAACTCACTGGAGATCAAGTTAAGCCCCTAAGAGCAATCAGAGCACCATCAGTGTCACACATGGTATTTGCTTTGCTAAATCAGTTTCTTGGAATGGCACACAAATGGCGGGGGGGGGGGATCGATCATGTTAATTAAAAAATTAAAACTACAGAAGTTCCTGACTAAGAAATAATTTCATATTTTATATCTTGTACTGAAAGGAAAACCCCATATTTCTGTTGTTGTTTGGTCTTATGAAAATGAGGAGACTTTTTGTAAGTATTTATTTATTTTAAACATTTTATATATTGGTTTCCTTAAAAACAAAGCAGTTATAATATGTTAACAAATTTAAAATAGAATGAATGATCACAAAGCAGCAGAATCTATTCAACCCTGTAGTGATTTGCCAAAATTCTCACATTGCCATGAGGCAATGACTGAAATGATTGAAATTTTAGCATACATCAACACTTTCTGAAAGTATGATATTTTTTTAGTATCTGAACTTACAATAGTTTTTGACTTGATAGGCTTCTCACCTACACATTAAACATGTTATTGTAATATTGTGATATTCTGTAACTTTATTTTTTTTATCAGCTCTTAGTAATTCCCTGCAGATTTCCATTTGAATGTATATAAGAGTTACAAATATGGAAAAAACTGAACTCCCAGTTAAGCACATTTATATTCTGTCACAATTCTATAAAGATTCATAGCAAATCACAACATTGAAAAACAATAATATTGATAAAGTTGAAAATATAAAAAACCCAACATTCAAAAATAGGCAAACCTGGTGCTGGAGCCAAACATCCAATAAAAAAGTTCCAACTTAAAATAGTTTCCAGAAGTCAATAAGAGTTGGGACCAAAATCTACATACACAGAATAAAATCTGTTTAAAGTTTTAAAGATTAAATAGCATATTTAATTGAAATAGACATAATGAATATAGTCCTATGCCAGTAATTGTTGTGTTTGTTCATGAGTATGAATCCTGCTATGCAAAATGGCGATTAAAAAAAATACTACGTTGTTCAAAAATAAATATATACCTATTGAGGTTCTGCTTTCTTCTCAGGAAATGAACTGATATCACATGTATTTTTTGTTTTTAGGAAAAGACATAAATATAATTTTATAACAGTTTATTAATTGTCATTGAATAACTGTTTCATTATCATATTCATTAAAATTTTACACCTACAGTTTTCTCAAAGTATAAAGAAAATGGGATAGATAAGGTCACATTACCCTATGTTAAATTTAACATCCTCCTTCTTCATTCCTTTCCTTAGGATTGATGGATTGTCACTGCTTATCTTCTGGTGAAAGAAATCCCACCTTTAAATAATCCTCATTTCCACTGAAAAGAAAGTTGAATAGGTTCTTCCAGCAGAATTAGCAGAGGGCTTGTGTTATGTTGTGCAGTAATTCTGGTTGTATTGAGCTGACTTCCCAATAAGAAAGAAAGAAATATCAATGCTGGGGTTATATTACAGTATCTAAAATGGTAGACAAATGTTTTATTTATGTTTAGCCTTCCTTTTTCTACTTCCTATCTAATGCTCAGGTTCCAAGGAAGACCCTTTTTTCAACCATACATACAACTTCTCACCTTAGTTCTCATCCTTTTGAAGCAGCTTTGTTTGGAATGGCCAGAACTGTGTATTATCTATGCGAAAGAGTTTTTAACCAGTGGAAAGCCTCAAAGGTTTGCCTCCTACTGTGAGCTTTGTAAATCTGTCATAGAAGTCTTTCCTTTCCATCAAATGGGAAAAGATTCCTAAGCTGTGGCAAGACATTAACAGTTTAGGATTTTACTGGATTCTGATTAAAATTGATTTTGGTGCCTGAAGAACTCTTTTGTGCATGCATAGATTCACTGATCAATTTGTCTGGAATCTGAAATTATCTTTGAAAGGTAATCAAACTAGAATGTAACATCAGAAGTTTATTAAAGAAGAGCTTTTTACAACCTTAACTTTTTAGAAGTGAAAGAACAAATATCAAGAGCAGAGAAATAGTTTAGAAAAATTAATAATGTATTCAAACTCATAAATATATGTCAATTTTGGCCAAGTTTTCACATTATAAATTAATCTTTGAATGTGTATTTACATACAGATAAATCTATATGCCAAACGTATATAAAATTAAAATGAAAACTTAACTAAATTAAGATTTAGAGATTATAAAATTAGCATTTACAATTAAGAACATTTATGAGTTCGTGTCAACATAGTTGAACATTGCTGAACATTTTTAGACAAATTACTGCATTTTTCTCAGTGGATTGGACCAAAAATAAACAAATATGTTGGGTGTTATCATTATAAAGTTGTTTATTTGACTATAGTCTTCACTTGCAAACTATGAATAAATTTATTATGTGTTATTTAATAAAAATTATTCCTATATTAGTCTTCTGCACTTGACAGTATAATAATAAAATACTTCAGAGCTATCTGAGGATTTTAGCTTGGTAAACTATTGTATCCATCCTGCTAGCAGCTACTTGAATTGCCTCTAATGAAAAAGAAACATCAGTTCAGCTGCATCAGGAATGATCATAGTCTATTTATCTATAATACAATACTTATTTAGAAGAAAAGGCTTAGCAATAATGCTATCCTACAGTTGGAGAACTTTTTAATGAATTGCTCTCTTAGTTTTCATTGTAAAATGTCAAATGTAAATAGTACTTCAAAATGTACTATAGCCAGAGTGCTGGATAATTGAAAGTTTAAATATGGATTATTCCTATAGGAAGGATTTAGTAGACACATGTACATGAAGCCACCCAGGCATATAGGTCATTCCTGTTTTGAAACAAGAGTTTCTTTATCACATGTCTCCTTTCTCTAGTATCCACACAAAAAGCATAATTGTTTTTGAATGAATGTTGGGATCAGTATGTACATGTGAAGAGTTTGAAGTACAGCTGGGCTTTCAGTAAGAGAACAAACACTCTGGTAACATGCTATTCAAATAATGCATCAGTGAGGCTATACTGAGAAGACCTGATGAAACATTTTCTTTAAGATTTAAAGAGCTGAAAATTAGTTAGAAAATATTATTTCATACTTCATACTTTACCATTATAACATGAATAACTTTTCAAATGTCCAGTGTAATATGTAATAAGTATTAGCAAAAAGTACTAATTGATACTTTAATAGTTTATTACATATAATAAGGCCAGGAGAAAGAGCTGAGTTGACCAGTTTGCTAGAGAGCAGCAATTTAGCTTTACTCTTACATATTCTCTCTCTACTAAACATTTCCAAACATGACTTCTAATTTTCACACTGATGTTATAGATCAGGGGTGTCAAACTCAAGGCCCACAGGACGGATCCAACCTTCAGGGTGCTTAGATATGGCCCATGGGGCCTCCCTGGAAACAGCAAAGGGTTGGCCTACGGTGCCTCTACCACCAAAAAGAGAGCTCAAGAGGACCGCAGGTTGCAGGAGGCCGTCACAGCTGAAAATTGAACTAGTGAGGCCATTTTCCAGGCCATTTTGCTCCTTTTTCACTGGCAGAGGGTTGCAGAAGGGCTGTTTTCCTCTGTTTTCTCTGGCAGAGGGTTGCAGTAGGCCATCGCAACTGAAAACAGAGCCTTTTTCACTGGCAGAGGGTTTTAGGAGGCCGTCACAGCCAAAAATGGAGCTTGGGAACCTGTTTTTGCTGGCAGAGTGCTTGGGCCGCCACAGGCGCCCCAACGGGAGTGACGTTAAGATGGCCACGCCCACCCTGGCAACCCCGCCGCCGCTGATGCGGTCCTCAATGAAATCAAGTTTGACACCCCTGTTATAGATGTTCACTTAAAGAAGCACATGTATTTATAATTTGATGAAATTTTATGAATGAATAAATTAAAAAGCTAGTAATTTCTCAGTGTTACCATTATTTACATTAATACAATAATGTATTATTTATTTGATGAAATACCTTCATAGTCATGGAAGTTATTGGACCATATTGTAACTTGGGGGAAACACTGTTGGAAAATAGATAAGGGACTTGTTCCTCCTCCCACACCTTTTCTAATTAATCAGTCCTTAAAGGGCAATGGTGTTTTAAACAAAGTTATGAAACAAGCAGCAAAAGACAAGCTGTTTAATACTTTAAACTAATCATTTAAATAGTTGAATATAGCTACATTATTTCATAATTATCAGTAAGGAGGAAGAACAATGACATTTTTTTTGGAGAGGGAGTTTCATAGATCTGCACTGCAATACCATATGTAGTTTAGTATCAGTGATTGAGCAAGGCATTCAGATGTGCATTGCTTCATTCAAAGGCAACAGTCCTTCAAATATGTTGCTGGCAAACCATTTTGGAGTATTAACATTTAATATAAAGAATCCTACCATCATATTCCTTGGTGGGTTTTTTCTGGGTAATCATATAAATCATATCATACATCAACTTTTATGTATTGAATCTTGGAGCCAATGACTAGACATTTGTGATGGAAATTTAAAATACTAAAGCAATTGCTATTTTAAAATAAGCTAAATAATTCTGTAAAAGCAGTAGATAAATAAATCTGAAAGCAAAGGATGAAAAGTTATGAATGCCTATAAAACATGAAGACTTTTAGCATGTGGTGAGGAAAAATAGCATTTTCAGGTGTAATACTAAGGTTAATATAATATAGTAAACCACAATAAATTTTGACTCTGACGTCACGTTGTCCTAGTATAAATAAGTTAATGATAGAAAAGGCACAATTGTAAGCATCTTGAGCAAGATGAAGTTTGTATTTGAGGTCCAGATAGGTAAGACAGCTGTTCTTTAAAATATGGTGGCTCTGGTATATACTCTCTTTACCAATTCTGCATTGTAATTTTTTTCTGACCTGAAAGACAGAATTATAAGCTACTTAAAATAGCATTGTATCTATTGGTCTAATTAGTTGGATTTTACAGCATTATGCTGCATTTATAATATGAATTTGTATAATAGGAATTTTTCTTAAAAACTATAAGCAACATTGCTTATGAATGAATGTCCTAATTTATCTACAGACTACTATTTATTTATTATTTTCCTCGTGCTCCCAAGCTTGTAGTCTTTCTTTCACAGAGTAAAATAAGGTTAGCATATCATTTTATATAACTTAGAAACCAAATTATTTTCAAGAAATAATTTAGCTAGGGCAAGAATCCTGTCTTTCAACCAAATCTATGGCAAGAATCTATGAAAGAGGTGAATTTGGGATGTGCATTTTTATTCTGTGGTATCAGCAATTCTGATGATTTACTCAGCCCAATATTAACCTGTTATGGTGTTTTAGTGTTGAAAAAATGCTCTATATACTACTTATAACAAATTGTAATAGATTGATATTCCTGCTAGAAGCAGGAGCATAAGGTATACAAATTTGCAACTTTAATTGTTTAAATATTCTATGAAGAAAATAATATAATTATATGCAGTAAAATATATAATTTTACTGTAAGTTTAAAAATACCACAGAATAAAAATTTATTCCGGATTAGATTACTAACTGTTTCTTTGGCTTCTCTAGGCATCTTAAAGTATCAAAGACATCATCATAATTATTGGCTTAATAACCATCAAAGGGTTTTTCAGGGACAACCTCTTTAGCCTGCATATCTGAAGTCTTTGCTATTTTGATGCCTGTAATCATATAAATGTTCTCCAATGTTGGTGGTAAAATCTATTTCTTTTGAAATTACTAACCAGGTGGCTGGCTCTTTTGGATAGCTGGGAAATGCTCTGAGAAAGACAGTTGAACAACATTTTTTTTTTTTTGCTTTCAGGAGGAGTTTTGCTATCCAGTGGAATGCCTGGCTCTCACAGTGGAAGAAGTAATGCATATCCGTCAAGTGCTGGTAAAGGCAGAACTAGAGAAGTATCAACAATACAAAGAAGTGTATACTGCCCTAAAGAAGGGAAAGGTACATCTAATTGTGTTGATTTTCCACTGATATGGACAATGGAACATGGAAACAAATTATCACAGGAAGTTTCACATTCACAGGAAGTTAAAATTTGCAGAGGGGTTCAAATTTTTGCGCAAAAGGAAAAGACTAGATCTGTAAATTGAGACTCTATTCTTCTGAAAATAGAAAAGCACCTTTTTAAAACATATGTACAGTAGGGGGCGCAACAGTGATTTTTGCAGATTTTATCCTATGTTGTTCTAAATATCGTTCAGCCTTCTGGAGTAGCTGTATATATAAAGCACTGGGCAAGATTTACAGAGGAAAGGAACACAAATCAGTACATAAATCACCATCTTCACCTTCTCAAACACCAGTGGAATTCAGCAGAGTATAAGTCTGAATCCACTTCCTGAACTCAATGGTAGTTCTTCTTTGTCAGCACGCTTCTCTATTATGCTGCCAAAATGCTTAATATAGAAGATGCTATGTCAGTTAGCAAAGGATTATAAAAACATTTCATGAGTATTTTATAAAGAGTGGGAAAAACTACTTATTTTAATAAATGTAATTAAAATGATTAATTGTACAACTACTTGATTATGTAATGTATCTTTGCTGATGTTTGTTTACAGACATAATAGTCTCTTATTCCCACTTTTCGTAGCTCTGTTTTTGTTGTCGCACAAGAAGATTTTCTTTCTTCACTTGGTCCTATACTTGTCAATTTTGTAAAAGGTAAGCACACATGGCCGTCATTAAAAATTGCTGAATAATACAATGATAGAAATGAAGTACTCATTAACCCATTTTTAAAGAATTTGTTATTATTGGTGTTCCATATGAAAGGAAGGAGGAAGGATAATTTTGGGAGTGTAAAGAAGGATTTGAACAGATTAAAGATTTGCATGTTTAGTGATATAAATTGAAAATCTTTACAGCTAACAGTGCTAATTATGGCATATGATGTTCATGCCAGCTAATATAAAATGAGTAAATAGCAAAAGACGTCTTTACTCAGAAAATAGATTAACAGTCTTATAAGCCTGTATACAAAGCCTGTATACTGTAGACGGATTGTTCTATTGTTCTGAAAAATAACACTCCTCTGAATTTTTCATAGGACACATTTAAATTTTGCTTTCTACATTTCTGAAATAAGAGTCTGCTGTTATCTCAAGTTAAATCTTTGGCCAATTTCTAAATTTTCTTAGGAGAAAAGAATTGCAGCAATTTTTTGTTCATTTCTGGTTTTAGATTGTGAAATATAACCCAAAATCTGTAAGCATACTATTTGAAAGATGATCATTTTGGATTTTGGAGTTTCTCCTCTTTATTTCCAAAGAGTTTCTACAAGTTAAATCACCTTAATGGAGCAGACTAGGTTTGAACAGGAGAACTAATAGCCCACATGGGAAGCTGGGATGAATACAGATAGGGCACACAATCTTTTGTATCCAGTTCTAGTTTTGTTGGCTTTTTCTGTGTTTTTTATTTATGCTGAAAAATAAAACAACCAGTAAAATTCAAAAATAGTGTATACCTCTTAAAATATTTTTATAAGAAAAATGCAATATAGACCTCAGAGACAATTTTACTTGGAATTAAGAAAGCCATTTTTTTTTTATGTTGTAGGCCTGTATGTTCACAGTGCTGTAAAAAAGTAAGTTTAAAAACAACAATCTAAAATCTGTTTATTAAATTGTTTCTATTTGTTTAAATATTTCATTTTTATCTGTTAGTTTTAAACTCTGCTTTTTCTTTTGGAATTCAAGATAGTATATACATTATAGTATTCATCTCTACTTTTATCCTTCTCCAATTTTATCCCTAAAGAAACATAAAGAGGGTTTTTTTGAATGAGATATTGTTAGTGGTCTAATGTCATGCAATGAACTTTAATGATGAGTTGTGAATATGAGAGTCTACACTTGCTCTCAGAATATTACACTTACAAGATAGTTGAAGGCTTTGTTATAGCATTTTACTAAGATTCATAAAGTCAATACAATATTACTGAGAATATATTGGAGTGGGGCACTATAAATGGTATGGCGTTTACAATCTCAGGGCAATTATATCTCACCATTGTTCCCTTGCTTTCATGACAGATGCGCCTACCATCAAAACCATATTCGACCCTTCCAATTTTTTCCTTGGGACCTTCTGCTTTACAGAAAGGAGAAAGCTTTATGAAGCCTGATAAAACTCCCATCAGCCATCACAGGTCACTGAAGGGCATATCAAGGTACGTTATAATTAATAGGGAAGAGGGACAGACAGATAGACATTCATTTTTACTTCTTCCTCCCCATTCATCTTTCCAAATTAATGGATATGAATGCAACTAACTCAAATTAGAGGTGGAGAAGAAGCTAGAAATACAGAGTTCAAAATGGCTGGGTTTAATCAGAGATATGGAGAAAGATTCCAGATAAATTCATACCTTGGAATTTCTCCTCCCAGTATAGAAAAGGCAATTGGTCAGTCACTTGAAATGTTCCTGACATTTTGATTCTAAGCCCTCCCACCCCAACCCCCCCACTATCTCCTCCCCAGTCAAACAACCCAGAGTATAGCTATTTCTAAAGGCTGAAAAAGAATTATAGAAGTTATCTAAATGTTTTCCCTATCTTAAAATAATTAATATTTTAACAAACTTCTAGGCAGATCTCAAAAGGACACCTCCCCTTCCCATTCTCGTTAACACCTTTCAGACTAACTTTCTGTGAAGTACAGCATAACATTCTGTGAAGAAGGCAGATAACCAAAGCATCCTTCTTGGAAAGTTTTTGTGCCTATATAAACCTTTTTGAATCTTGACTTGTATAAACCCCTGTGCCTGATACCATCATCTCACATACATTAAGACACCTGCACTGTCAGTCCTGTATTTGGAACACGTAACATTTCTGAAAACACTAGTATGATAGTCTAGATTACAGTCTGTCATTAGCAATCTAAATTTAAGACTGTCACACTATATTTCCTTATATTATTGGTGCCAACAAAATGAAACCATTTTTCCCTCCCCGCACTATCTAGTAATTTACATCTAGCTGACTCATGATGCCTAGGTGCCTTTGTACCAAATAGGCAAGTCATGATATGATCTATATGTCAAGCTCACACAACGGGGCAAGCTTGGGGAAACTTAAATGAAGTGTCTTTAATATTAATAAAAGGAGTAAATACACAATTTTGGAAATTTCAGGAGTTTCCAAACGTCATTAGTGAGTTCATTAGGACAGTGTAGGAATATTTTGAATTGTTTCTTGTCATCTAAACACCATGCTGTTTATGAGCTACTAATAAGCTCTTATCTCTTGATTACATCTAATATTCCTTCCTCTCCAATCTGTCATACTACATGTCTGGCAGAAACCATTTGTCTGACATTCTATAAGACATCCCCTTCTTAGTGAGGAAATGGGTCTCTCAAGGATTGTTCTCTACCGTGGAAATATCTGCATTACTTTTGAAATGAGGTCGCCCTTCCCTAAGATCCTCAGTCTTCCAGGTAGCAAGAGGATTTTTCTAGGAGTGGGGAAATGCTACCACATCCCAGAATAATTTGTCTACCCTTGTTGTGGCTTCTCCACTTCAAGCATCTCCACTTCAACTATCTTGGTCTTGGAACAGGCTTGCTTCCTGGGTGCCATGAGCTCATTGCATTGAGTGTAAACTTTTTACCAAGCAGATAGCCATACATTTGTCACTGTGTAATAAATTCGGAAAAAACCCTTCCTTAATTGGCTTTCTACCTTCCTTATAGGTGAGTGTGATGAAGCTGTGAGAATCTCAGATTTAAATGAAGAATGTAATCTTTTGTATCTCTTTCAGCCAGTTTTAAATGTAATTTCATGTTGTAGTAAAATGAAAGAAAATATACTTTTCCTGCATAGCATGATTTAAGATAAAATACTGTATATTTAAGACTCCACAATAATTTTAAAAACTCCCAATGTGTCTGGTAAACTGTAGTAGCTAGTAGCATAACAAGATATAGAGCAATTGCTTAATTTATATTCTACAGCTACATCCTATTTTCATTAAATATGCATTTTCCTTTCTTGAATATATTCACTGAAATACCTTAGCCATTCTTGCCTTCTTTTATAATTCATGTGTTAAGTCCTTCTTTTCTTATAAGCATTTTTCCCCTGATAATTAAATGTTGTGATTGTATAAAACTGGTTTATACAATCGTATAACCAATTGTATAAAACTGGTTATTTTTGTGTTGTTGGGTGACCTTGGGCCAGTCACTCTCTCTGTCCTGAGGAGGAGGCAGTGACAAACTTCCCAAAAAACGTGCCAAGAAAACTGCAGGGACTTGTCCAGGCAGTCCCTGGGAGTCAACAGTGACTCGAAAGCAGAAACAAACAAATTAATAAAATGACCAAAAGAAATTCAGGTGACTAATTAAGTTGCTTCTTTCGCTTTACACCAAATGTTAAGAACTGGAAAACTTGAAAAGGTTTCTGAAATTATTTAGAATGAATGGTACTACTAAGTTAAGAATTGTTCCTTTATTTTAGGTTGTCCTCAAAGTCAAAATCTGTAGATAAGTCAAGTGAAGAACCATTTTTTCCAAAAGAACTCATGGAGGACTGGAGCACCATGGAGGTGTGTGTGGACTGCAAGAAGTTCATTTCGGAAATCATTAATTCAAGCCGCCGCAGCCTCTCTCTGGCTAACAAACGAGCCAGGTTAAAAAGGAAAACACAGTCATTCTACATGTCATCTCCAGGCACTTCAGAATACTGTCCTTCTGAGAGGACTATCAATGAAATCTGAGTCTTGTGCCTTTCTCTTTATTTACTCTTCATGAGATCCTAAGAAAACTCTTCAAAACCAGAGCATCCGTCTTTCCTTTGTTCTACATGATCATTTACATTTTCATTAGCTTATTGGTTTCCCTGTTCTATATAATTCATAAAAAGAATCAGAAATTGTCCTACCCACCAGGCCAGCGAATAAGCTTGTTTTACTGGAAGAATGCAACTACTCTAGATTGTTGTCTAATTGTATATGTTCAATGTACAAATGAAGTCTTTACTTGTATTTTTCCCTATTTATCCTTTAATTATTTTTAAGATGAGTGTCTATGTATGTATATATATATGTAGATAGATCTAAAGAAAAACTAGATTATGGTGTTAGTACATTTGTAAACCATAATGGCATTTGCTACCAATTAAATATTAATCATATTTTGTTATTTGATGTACCTAGTCTCCTATTGTACAGAACTTGATATCTTATAGCACAAGATTAAGAAGGATTTGCTAATATGCTGGAAATGGTTGATCAATCCATGCCATCTCACTCTTAGTATAAAATACTGAATAAGCTGGAAGCCTGAAGGAGTAATTATTTTCCTGGAGCTTCTGCTATATTATAATAAAATTAGTGTGTTCAAAATAATATTTTTTCCTATTTGGAATGTACTCTGAATATTAGTGGTAGTGTTACCTGTAGCTTTTATAAATAAACAAAACAAAGCCCTTTATAGAGGCAGAATGCAATATAAGTTTAGTTTTTAATATGAATGAACTTTTGTAAACTAGGGTTCTCTGGGTAATAATCCTGAGAAAGTTAAAATAAATATGTATATTTGTTTTATAGAGCAATACTTAAGTATTGCTGTAACTAAGAATATGGAAGCATGTCTATTATTAACCCCATTTTTACAGGGGTATGTATCTTGGCTGTAAAGATTTTTTTCTTGGAAAAATTTGGGACAATGTGTCTCAGATTAAGAAGTGTTTTTGTTTCCTTGTTTTCAAAAGGTTGGAGAAACACTGAATGTTTTCAAGTTAAAATACTACTGAATATCACATTTTTGCACTGTTTTATAGTCAGATTTTTAAACAAAACTGGCGCTTAGTATGGAATTGGGTTATTTTTATATATATTTAAATTGTCCATTTAAATTGTTTGCAGATCATCTGTGGATAGGGACAATTACTCTGCTATGTTTTAATGACCTAACTTATGTTTAGAATCAAATTACAATATATGATGGAAAAAAGGTTGCATTTTCATTTTTATATTGTAAAAGGAACATTTCAGTTCACTTCCGAAATAGGCAAAATTTTCTTATATCAATTACCAACCAGACATTTATTTATTAAATATACTATCAAAATTTATTCTGTCACCTTAATCCTTTGATTTGATTATTCCTTGAATACCCCAGTTTATTGTTACATAACCTAACTGAAATTATGAATGTTAAATTTAATATGTCAGCAATCTTTCCAGGAAAGACACATGATTATATCCCAAATACTCAAATATTAAATATATTAGGCATAATTTTTGAAAATTAAATAGCTAAAAACTCAACACATAATACAAGAAATCTTGAAAGATTTGATGATCCTACAAGATCATAGATATTTGAAATTTATTGAAAACTATGTTAGGAGTCGTGGCAACATGAGTGATTACTGACAAGCTCCAACGTAATTAGTAATCATTTCTGTTAATCAGCAAATAATTTATCTTAGGTACTTTGCTCTCTTTAACTTAAAATCTACACCCACATATATCAAGAAAGCAAAATATTGTTTTATCATCAAGCTGGTAGTTCTTATTACCCTGAGCTACCCAGAATCTTTCCATACTGTATATTCACTTCCAATGCAGCTGATCTTCTAGCTGTATCACGTAGTTCTCTTTACAAAATAAAAATGAGGTGTTTTTTTTCTACAGAAACCATCTTTCGAAATGTAGGCTAGAATACTTTAATAAAATTTAATAAAATACTACAGGGTTTTATTAAATCCCCTTTATCGGCAAAGATTTTCCATAGTTTTCACATTTTTTGTGTTTTTTATGTGGGGCCAAGGAAAACACAAAAATTAAGTATTATATAAATATATCAATTTATTTCCTAGCAAAGTATTTACAAAATTCTGGTATGTGAGATTAACCTGAAATTATTAGGACAATAGTTGGATAGTTGCCTACATATGTTTGATATACTAATGAAATGAATGAATTAAAAGATTTTGTATTGAGCTTCACAGGAGAAATATAGGTAATCTTTAACTTTCGGATTGGAATTTCTATTGCTAAGCAAGTTAAATGAGACAAAATTTTACAATCTTTTTTGCCACAGTTGTTAAATGAACCACTGCAGTTAAGGGAATCATGCAGCTGTTAAGAAAATCCAGTTTCCCCCATTGACTTTGGTTGTTGGAAGCCAGCTGGGCAGGTCGCAAACGGTGATCATGTGTTCCCAGGACATTGCAACCCTTGTTCAAATACATGCTGGCTGCCAAGTGTCTGAATTTTATTTTGATCACATGACCATGGGGAGGCTGCAGCAGTCAAAAGTATGAGGATCATCATAAGTCACTTTTTTCAGTGCCTTTGAATAGTCCTAAAATTAATGGTTATAAGTTGAGTTCTATCTGTAGTCAGCAGTCGTATATAGACAATATTTTACCAATTTGTACTAAAAAAAATGTTTACCCCAAAATTCCATACTTCAAGCTGAAAAATGAATAGACGGTTGTAATATTTTCCATTTTTCTGATCCATGACTACCCGTCATAATTACGTTATGCTTACATTCACAATATAAATGTCAGAACTGATTTCAATAGCTTATTTCTGTGAAGGCAAAGCCTACTGAAGAAGAAATTGTATAAATTAAGATCAAGTACTTCCCTTTTCCATTTTTATCTCTGGGCTTATATCTATAAATTAACACCCCGTGATTGCTTATCAATATATGCCGTGTAATTCAAAAATCGGCTCCAGTGCAAGGTCCCATCAATTAAAAAACAAATCCATTCGTAGGAACGTTGTCATCTGACTGAAATTTTATTAAACTGAGGCTGTCTTTCTCTACCTCAAATTGTTTTGTAATTGAAACCCAAGTTAATTCTTTGCCAAAGCACAGACCCTTCCAGCAATCTGGCTGCTTTCAAGGCTTTCACAGTGTGTCTCTGCAAAAAGAAAAGGTTTTCAGAATATCTGTCCTGAGCCTTACAGAGAACATGGCAGTGTCAATGCAGAAGGGTACTGGTCCATTTTGTGAAGTGATTGTTTTTTAACGCTTTGCATAATGTTGTGTGCCTAATTGGTTTGAGAATATGACAAAGCTGTCCCACAAGCCAAATGTTCCATGATTACACGCTTTCAAAAGAAAAGTACACCCCAGGAGGGAAAAATCAAATAGAAGACTTGGCTTACTGTACTGATTCTGAAAGCACATCTGATCATCATGTAACGTGTCAAAGTTAAATGAACTTGCTAAAAGTCATTTGCAAGTTATATATTTATTTGCAATCCTATGATTTACAATGATTTCCCTTTCCTGCTCCAAGATAAGTTCTTGCCAAAAGTGGGAAACTTTAAAAAGACCATCACTAAACTTAGATCTGGCAGCCACCACTCTTTCCAACCAGTAAGAGAATTAGATGAACTCTTGGGTGGGTCAGAATCCTATCCTACCACTCACTAGGAAGGGACATCAAGCAAATGTCTTTTTGCAGTTCCATGCTATTCACAAGCAAGACATAGGAAATCTTAAGACATTGCAGACTGACCTCGTATCACAATGCTGTGATCTGCACTAAGCTTCAAAACCCATTGGCATGTATAGAACTGTACACTTTTTATATGCATGAAGATATGAGAAATAAGAATTAAAATACAAGGTCTCTTTAATGACTGAATACAGAAGACCTTGATTTGGCTGAATCCATAGGGAAAAGCCACATATATCCAGCACAATTCTTTTTGCCAATGCCCATTTCTCAAAATCTGATCTGGAGGACTGGAGAAATGAGATGACAGAGAGAGCTGGTATAGAAATTAGGTACTCAAGCTTTCCACCAGCCAGAACCCTTTGCTGGAAGCTGCTGCTGTCAAAAACAATAATTCTTCACTTGTATGGAGATGACTCTATATTCAAATTAAGATAATGACATTCACTTTTTAATTTTATTCCTAACCTAAGACTTATTTTTTTGCATTCCATAAATGAAGATATGCAAAAACAAAACTTTGTAGACGTATATTTGTAGGAAATTTGTTATCCTTTTTTTCTTCATTGACTTTCTTCTATGTTTTAAATCTTGCTTTCTGAGAGGGCTGTGCTCACCTGGAAACTCATCTAGGCCAAGAAAATCATAATATGATAAAAAATAGGAGGAACAAATGAAAATCAAATGCATGAACGATTATTAGAGAAAGCTGAGTTTACTAGAGCTGGATTTAGAATATAGAACAAAGCCATTGTATGCTAAAGTGATATTTTTAAAAAGGGTAAGTTTTCGTCCCTTGATTATGTTCAGAAAGTACTTATTGCTGCAATGATGACTTTTATCTTGCACTATGAGAAAACGGTGGTAATAAAAAGGAGTTATATATGCGTCTCTGCCAGTAGACAATATGTTTTGGGAAACAAGTCAAAATCATTTTTTTCTACTATCTTCTACATAGATGTTTTTTAAAACATCACCAAAAGTCAGGATGCTTACAAGGAAAAAAATTGCACACCATTTAGTTTTCTTTACTGTTCCTGAACCTGCAATGGTACCTGGCAATGATTTGAATAGGAAGCACAACTGTCTTAAGATCTACCTTCTTATGTCACCATGCTGTATACCCTGATGGATAAAGATTTGTAAATGAAAAAGGCAATAATTATTTTTCTGCTTGTTTTCCTGTTACATAATATTCACCTGCAGTTTATGAATTATTAAACTCATAAAAAAGTTGTAATATTGTTTTTGTTGTCTCTCATCACCTGAACACAATTATCTATTACATGCACATACACAAAAATAACATTGAAAAATGTTATAATTTCTAAGACCATTTTTATAAATTATATTTCTGGGAGTGGATTGGCCTGGATAAGATAAAACTCAAGGGAAATAAGAATTACCATTGTTGGTCTGAATGTATGGTTTCTAGCTTTTAGGAAAAAAACCAAGATAATGTTTTGTTTTCTTTTTATTAGAGTTTTAAATTAAATATAAACACAATTTTATATACTCCCCTTTGTTTAATTTAAGTATTTCATACCATGGGTCACACAAAACTAAAAAATATGTACTCCTAATTACTCTTGAGTTTAGTGATTCTTTCTAGAATATTTGCTATCCTTGCTAGTGCTTTTTTAGTTTTTATGACTCAGCATTACACGGTATCCTGTTCAACAACTGATGTAAAAGCAGACTGCTTTCTTAAAGAAAAACAAGACTTTTTTTGCCATCCCTAGGTGAGTCATATTTTCAGAAATTATGGTATTTAACACTTGAGATCAAATGTTTTGCCACTTTGTAGAATTTACAATCAAATCACAAAATATTGAAGATCTTGAACAGAGTGCCTCAATGTCTCCTCTCACTAGTTATGTTATTTGAAAAGTAGTTCCTGCCTTTCATCAATCATGGCAGTTTTCTACATTAACTAAAAGAATGTAAACCAGAGATTTTGATGTGACTGTCCAAAACAGAAAATGAACTAAATGTTTTCTAATAATCAGTCTGCTCATCTCCATTAAAATCAAGATTTCTTTATTCTAGAAACTGGACCCCATTGTCAGGGAAGATAGTATTTTTCTATTTTAATAGCCAATCAGGTAGAAAATAAAATTTGCACAGATATTTCTGCTCATGGCATAAACAGTTTCATCTATCCCAAATACATCTTCTCCATCTTTTGAAGATACATAGCTTTGTCTTCATTTACACTGAGGAATTTTTAAATGCAAACAAAAAGCACATGCAAATAAGGAAAAGGTTACATGACCAATTAAGGACCAGATGGATTCATGGACAGTATGAATCAAACATTTGAACATGCAAGTAACGTTGCCAGACAATGAACCTGAAAAGACACCTGTATTTAGTCACTATTAGTTGCTGGGAGTGGTATAGAGCGTAACGGCTACACTTTTTCAATTAAACCTGAAAATATAATCTTAAAGACTATTATTTTCCTTGCCAATTCTCCTATTAGAACGTGAGGTGGAGTAAGTTGGATATCAACATTTTGCTTTGCTTTTCTCTTAGTGAAGGGCTTTGTTCAGCAGGGTTCATAGGAAATGTCCTAATCAGTAAGACAGCAATGCTGCATCCACCATCTTGCACATTTTGAAACTACAGACCCTATTGGTCTCATTCATGCATAAGGAATTATTCCTGCGATTAGTGTTGCTAATTATATTGTAATGCCAACAAATGAATCAGTAAATGCAAAATGGTGGTGTAGATAAATCTATAGACTGGAAAAGCCTTGGAAACAAAGAATTTAGCAGGGTTACGGATAGGGAATAGGATTGTAGTTTTCCTATAGTAAAGGTATTTTTCAGTTTGTGTTTCTCTGAAACAACTCTCTGGAAATAAAGCAATTATGTACCTTACATCTTATCCTTTTAAAGGTTTGAAATTACTTGGATATACTAATGAATTAAAATGTTTCCTGCTTCCAATTTCTAAAGAAATATCACAAAGCAGGTTTTTATTCCTCAGTGAATTACTTGTAGAAAAATGAAACTTAATTTATATGAAATATGATATGCAAACAAAACCTACCTTTAAAAATGACTGAAAACTAGTTCTATTTCATGAAAGCTTCTTTGTAATATTCAAGCCAATTTTTACTGCATCCTCTCTGACATACAAGTTACAGATTCCTGTCATAACTTAAAACAGCTATTGTCCAATTTGTCTTCATTATCAAAACTATTTCTAATTTTTATTAGAACATTCCACTGAATTTTGAAATTTGGAACCACTATTTGAACTAACTTTATGAAGGGTGTTTGTTCCAAAGAGCAATAATTTTGAGTTTCATAACATGTGAAAGATACAGTTCTATGGACAGGATAAGCCCAATTCTCACAGTAGGATGTGAAATGCAGACTGGAACAGAAAACCTTTTTTCAACTTTCTAATCCATGAGGTGAAATAATGACTTAAACAAGCAAGTTATCCTAAGGGTATGAAAATATCTCTACCCATTTGTTATTTCTAGTATTCCCCTCTGAGGTATTAACTGGCTTTTCATAAATGAATAGAATAAATCCATTTCAAAATAAATAATGCACTAAATATCAGCTGGCAAGAAAATATTTAGATTACTATCTTGTAGCAAAATATCTGCTCCCCTATGTTTAGCAGTCCTTTTAATATAAATAAAGAGGTAAAATGTTGGCATTTCTTGTTCAGCCCTCTACAAACAATGCAAAAAAATAATACCACAGAAACTTGAAACAAACAATGTAACTCGCCAAGAAGCACTGCTTGGTATATTCTCCAAACAGGCTTCTTTAAAACAATAGGCCATGCTGCAAAATTAAGGAAATTAATCAGAGCATGCCTTTATATCTCTTCTGGATCAATGTTTTTCAAACTTGGTAACTTTAAGATATGTGGATTTCAACTCCCAGAATTCTGGGAGTTGAAATCTATACATCTTGAAATTGTTCAAGTTTAAAAAACACAATTTTGGACTGGCATTCCAACCCCACCCACCCCAAATAAATAGCCACTACAGCTTGACTCTCCATATTTTTGGTACCTGTGTACTTCAACAAAGAACTACAACTGTACTTTTAAAAAATAAATGCTAAGATTTAAGCAGTAAAAAGAGCAGCACGTTCAAAAGTATATTCACATAGCTCTTTATCAAAACACAGCTTGGTATTTATGTAGACTAATCTTCAATCTTTCTTTCAGTTTGCAATCCATGTAAATAGCTTGAATTTGAGGTCATTGTCCTGCGGGGAATTAGGTAACTATATCTTGAATCCATATTTTTTAAAAAAAAGGTTAATTATAATGCAGTAGGTCCCCAAAATTCTTCAGTGTTAAAGAAAAAAAAGTGTCCTGTAAATCTCATTATAAATTAACAGACTCTCTCAGTCTCTCTGCCTGCCTGCCTATTTATGTATATCAAAAAGTAAGGAGTATTTGCCTCAGCAACAACAATAACAAAAAATTAAATGGAAAAATAAAGATTGTGACAGTTCATCAGTTTTCCATCGAAGCAGCTGCCATTGTTGATTTTATACTGTCTCGTGTTGAAGTTAGTTCACCAATCACCCATTCTAAAGCTTCACGTCCCTGTAATGGAAAAAGAGAATGTTATTTGAATGACTGGAAACAATGCTAAGCATGTAAAACTTTCCTCTGGCAGAACCTAAAAAGTTTCAAAAGCAAAATAATTTATTTCTGCCTAGATTATGAAAAAGCTGCTGTATTATTAGTCCTACTGAAACTATAGGGTTATTTCTTGGACCTCTTAAGAAACAGCATTAATTTTAACTTATTTTGAAAATCTTTAATATTTAACCTAATGACACAATTTTTCTGTAAACAATGCCCTTGCCAACTAAATTACAAGATTGCATGCTTAATAATGGCAATATATTACTTTCTCAATCCAGCAAATCAAATACGAAGTTTCAACCATTTCGAGATGACTGCTAAAGAGAGATTGGATTTATAAATATTTCCAGAATAAAATGTATCAATGACCCAAATTCTAATCAAAAAGTTGTGAAACTTTTTCACACGCCACAATACTAAGAGAATACTGGAATTATTGTACTCGCCATTACCATACTGCATCTCAACAAAGGAAATACATTAGAGTATCTTTTTCCTTTTTAATGAGAAAATTCCTTGCTTGATTTCTTTTTCTCCCTTCTGCAATTGAAATAATACAGTACTTTAAGGGCTAGTCCTAGAAAATAATGCTACATAAGAATTCTACAGTCCTTGAGGTTAACTCAAAAGCCAGTTTGTCATCCCACAGAGCTCAGGAAAAATTGCTAGCTATTTCCAACTTTGAGAAATTCCCTAATACCAAAGATTAAAAGAAGACATTACAAATCATGGTGAGGAACACAATGGGCTATGAATCCAAAACCTTTCAACATGTTGCTGAAATCAATTTTGTCTAAAAATTTTAATTGAAGAAATTGTTTTAAAACTAATACAAAACCCTACCTAATTTATGACTATTGAATACTCATATAGTCTTGTTTTACTAATATTTTGATCTCTGAAGTTAATACAAAAACTTGTACAACAACCTGTTTTAAAGGCACTTAGATAATTATAAAGAGCTCAACTGAAGTGTTACTTCCAGCTCGAAATGACTTACAACTAATTATTCATTGCTACTTAGATAAACTTACGGAAAGCGAATACAGAGGATTATGTTCAATAAAATTTCAAACTTTTTAAAGTATCATAAATACTTAGAATTAAATCACCTTAGAGAGCTAAACCTACATCTAATCTCATCAACATGAAGTAACAGCCATGTCACAAGTACACACAGTGAATTAGCTGGCAACAATTTCTCATCAAGCAGTAACCATATCCAAACTTACCTACTCCTTTTTTGAATGTAATCAAGATCAACTATGTTCTACCTGCACATATTCCAGCTATCAAGTTTACTATAGTTCTGTAAAAATATGTGAGGTAGGAATAGGAAACTTGATTAGAACTGCTTACCTATGCCTCACTTACTATGATGACGGCAAAACCTATGACTCAAATCAGGAATTTTGCTTTTATTAAAGAAAAAAATCAGATGGTGCTTACTACTTTGTCTTCATCTGCTAGAATATTGTACTAGTTGCATGCATTGTCCTTAAATTGCAAAAATGTGAATTCTTAATAAAAGTTTAATTATAATGTGAGGGAAAATGCACCAAGTAAATATAGCAGATGCAAGGCTTAACATTAATAATATCCATAATTCAACTTTAGGCCTGCAACAGCATAACTGATCCTGAATATATGATAACTTAGCTACCATGACTTTTCCCAAAAGAATCTAGGGTGAGGTCAGTACTGCAGTATCTCTTAATAAAAGGCTTTGTGGTAGAGATATGACACAAATTGCATTAATTATTAAAGAGCATCCAGATCAATTATATCTTTTCTCAGGTAGTTTCACATTTTTGCAAACTATATTCATTGTTAACATTTCCATATTTTTTGAAGCCAGCAAACATTTCAACATTTTTCATTCTAAATCAACCATCTTTAAACTACTATCTATCTGATATCTGAACATGCTTCAGTATTGCAAATTACACAGTTTAGATCTACTTTAAAATTTTCTAGATAAAAATCTTTTTTAAAAATGATGAAAAGTAATCTTCAACACAGAAAAATAACATGCTGATAGAAGACATTCATTGGTTGATTACAAAACAGTGTGAACCATTGCATTCTTACAGTGTAAGATACTTGCAATATATCAATTTTCAGAAATCTTAAACATTACTTAAAATCCCTCACCTATGTCAACAAAATTCCAGGTGAAATAAAATTTGGGGGTGTATATTTAAATAAATTCTAGGTAGTGAAATAATTTGATTTCAGCGAATTCCAATTATACTGATAAGCGAATGTCTGAATTCCCAAGTTTATGTTGCAATGTACAGCTACTCTTTCATTTATAGCAGTTGAAGGAGACACATAAATTACTTTTAATAAACTTAGTTATGGGTAGAATAATCCTGACAAAGAATTAGTTTGCAATGTATTTCAAATAGTGTATTAATATACACTGTAAGCAAGCAGATTTGCCAATAGACATGCAACTTTAATATGTTTATGCATATGATACTACAAAATTGACACAATGTTAATGGTTTTTAATTTAAGGGCAACTAAAAAGATATGATGAGCACGTACCATATTCATACTATATACACACACTCCAAAAATCAGTGTTTAAAGAATTACAATATTGCACCATCTTTGTATAAATTTTAATTAACTGTAAATTAGGATATTAAGCAAAGAAATTAAACTATTCTATTCCAAGATTGATAGAAAAATATAAAGAGAGCCCTATCTAAATTTATTTCTATAGATAACTAACAATTTTATCAGAAGCTAAAAAAAGAAGTTATTTAATTGTAGAAATACAAAATCAATACTTTTATTATGGAAAATGTTACTTTATTAGTATGAATTCAAGTAACATCTCAGTTAATGAGCTGCAATTCATTGCATTCCAATGAACAGCAACTGGCTTTTTATGTCATTCTCTGTAGTCAATCTAGATACAAGCATAATTATAAATTATAACTAGAAAGTTCTAGTTTCTCCTTATATGCAAAGGAGAATGAAAAAGAGAAAGCTGTTTTAATCTCAAAAATATATTAATCATTTTAGCTTGAATTAGATGCAAGTGGAGTCAAAAGGTTCTATATGACTGCTCACTTAAAAAGCACAAAAGCAATCATGTATCTATAAACTATGAAGATATCTACTGCATTTATCCAAAGGAAGACAGTGCTGAATTGAAGACAAGGTTTCCCAAGGCTACCAATTTTCAAAATAAGTAGATAGGAAAATATAATTCTGAACAACATTTTGTGCCCAGGATTTACATTTAACTCACCAGCTGGAAATTTTCAACATTGCCAATAAATATGAGTGTTTTACAGGCTTGAATATGCGATGGACAAAAAAAAACCCACACTCCAGAAATAGACAAAACAGACTACTGAATGAGTAACTTTCTAAAATTAATAAGACTATAATGCAAATAAATCCATTAATTCATCAGCATATTCCAAACATTCTGTCACTTAAACCACTGTCCAGATGAAGAATCATATTGAATGGAAGGAAGGAAGGAGACGGAGATGAGGTCAAGGAAGGAAGCAACTGTTTGTGAAGGGAAGAAAAGAGAGAAGGGTCATTTAGATGTCCCAAAAGAGTTACATTCATCAGGCAAGTAGCCCTTTCCAAATAAGGCCTAATCTTCAAAATGATAACTTTAATTCCAACCTCCTAATTATTTGGAGGAAGCAATCTTACCTTTCTATGAGGTAAATATAGTACATATGGTCTGACTTAGATATATCATGACATGCATGCAGTCTGCTACCTTCCCCACTTCTTTCCCACTGCACTGTCAAGAAAGGCAAGGCACGAGATGTAAACACCTGAGAATTGGCTGCCTCCTCATGAGGAAGTTTTGGATAGCATCCATCTATCTCTGTCAAATTCTAGCAGCTGGAATCCATATACTTAGCCTGACAATCAGAGTACACTGATTGTATTTGTACAGCTTTTAGCACAAGCTGTATTAACAATGTTCTGTTAAGAGATCACCATGCAGAAAAATCTGTGGGGTTGTTACAAGTTGATAATGACTTCTTGGCACATAATCAACTAAATACAGTTAGCATCATATTTCTACAGCAGGCACGTCAAACTTGCAGCCCGCAGGCCAGATGCATCACGCACTGGCCACACCTACCCCAGGGGTGGGATCCTACCGGCATAACAACCGGTTCGCTTCATGTGCATGCGTGTGCATTATTTACAAATTACTAGGTCCAGCAACCATTCACCTGCTCCAGCTGACGAGCAGCACTCAGCTGTGCCACGCAAAGCAGCTGAGGAGGAAAAAGCAGAGAATAAAGGACATCCTAGAGCCCAGGCGGGCGGGTGGACCAAACAGACAACCAGAAGATCATCGCAGCGAACAGGTTCAGTGTCAGCTGCTCTTTGGAGCTACTGGTTCTATAAAACTGGGCCAAACTGGTAGCATCCCACCCCTTACCTACCCCCAGTTTAGCGAAGGGGGGAAAAGTTGCAATACGTCATGTGATGACAATGTTTGACACCCCGGTTCTACAGAAATATACTACAGAGTCTGAAACCAATATTGACCTCAAATAGTACATGTTAAGCAACCAAGAATTTGAATGTAACTCTTCAATGAATAGTTATTTCCCATCTAGTCTTGCAATGCCCAGACCTGAAATATAATCCATCTGATTTGACAGGTGTAGAGTTGTAATTGCAGGAAAGTCATTATCTTGATGGCAAACCTCAGATAAGGACAAAGCAAATACAACTCAGGCAAATAAAATCACTAATGCAAAGAAGGATTAGAGAGAGGAAGTAAACATGTGTTAGACTTTAACTAGAGATAATTAATTGTGTTAATTACTATGCTAGACAGTAACAAAGGTTGAGCAACAACCAAAGTTAACCAATGTTAGAGGATTACTAAAAATGTGTATAAATACAAGACTAGACTCCAATAAAGTCATCATGATTCATGTGATCATGATCAAACACCTCGACTGCCTCGTCATTACAACAGACAGGTACTGCTACAATAGAGCTTTTCAACCAATTCAACATAGAAATGCCAGAAAAGAAATTTCCTCCAGTGTTCTAATAATATTCTTTTTACACAAAAAGCAACAACAAAGAATATAAAAATAACTTTAAATTGATCCTCTTGGATTAAGAATCTTCCTATGACAAAGTATTTAGATACCAAAGGAGCCCTGATTCCATAATTAATGAATTAAGGGCACAGTTCCTCTATATGTAATGTGTGTATATACATATAAAAGCATGCAACTTTTTAAAGGTACATCACGACAACATGCATGTACTTGGTAGAAGCTGAAATGCTATACCAAGATAACAAATGCTGACATTACCACTAGTTAGTACAAAATGCAGCTGTAGAAAGAGACTGCTAGCTTAGAACATTTTCAGAATGTTGAATTGTCCATTCAAGAGCATCCCACCCCTGGAGCAACACAGAAAAAATGTACAACTTGCAGCAAACAGTTTTTCCATCATCAACCCTACAATGTAATAGCCTCTCACAAAATTAAACATTTTTAATTGCATAGCTATAGCAAGCAAGAGTACCCTTAAAAGTTTATACATATAGCAAATTGGGATTTTGACAGCATATAAGCATGCATCCCATCATACTAATACTGAAAAGTCAACTAAGTACAATGTGTTGTTGCTTGTTTGTTTTTAGTATCTACTTGAGATTATATATTACCCATTCTTAAAAAATAACTGTCATCTAGACACTTGGTTACAAAATTAAAGTGACCTCAGCTGAATGGGTGAAAAATACAGAGGCACTTCGACTGTTTAGTGGTCTCAGCATTAGGACAGAAGAGAAGAAACTGCAGAAAAACTGCAGGCAAATGACTAGATCAAGCAATGCACTGACAATTTTATAAACAGCCAGGTAAATGTAAAGATGATTGTTTATCACATTCCCAAAAAAATCTGTGAATAGCATCTCAACATATGGATCTTTTCCAAAAAATAATCTTTATAGGAGTGAGCTACTTAGTTGGCATTTTGCCATTCATTTCTAATTAAATTCTAAGAATTACACCTCAGAGAACCAAAAGTTACATTTCATAGCAAACATTAAGTGCTGCAATTAGGACAAACCAAAAGTCACAGGGGAAAAGGAGAGCAGCAGATTGTCAGACTTGTTCATGTACATTCAAATACCACTGACTAAACTTCATATTTATTATTTGAAATTAATTGCACCAGAAATTATTGAAAAAGATATACACTTATTTATGAAGCTAGCTTTCTCTTACCCACTAACACGGAATGGGAAATTTTTACTTTTTCATATACTGAAAAACCTTCCAGAAACTTAAACCATCAGCAATAGCTGGAAGAGACAGGTTTACCACCAATGTCTCAAACATATGGACTGTGTGTATTACACCTTATTTTAAAGCAACATCAATCATCTAAAGTAACCATTTTGCAACCTCAATTTTTTTTTCGTTTGTTACTAAATAGAACAGGTATTTGCAATCTGGACTAATCTGTAAAGTGAGGGACAGAGTAAAAATGAGGCAGGCCAGCTCTTGACTTCAGCTTTCCCTGAAGTAGCAGACTATTCTCAATGGAATGCAGCCATAACAGAAAGTATGCCATGTTTTTCATACCTTACTGAACTTAGAAAGCAATAGCACTGGCTATTTCAGATACACTGGATGGGAATTGCCTAATGATACCATCTATGGAACAGTTGGAACCAGTTCCACATTGTAGCTGCCAGATTACATTTGCAAAGAAACCAGGGTCTGGGAACAAAGCACTACTGGGTGGTCCCTACAAGCCTGTAACCTTGAGAAAAACAAGTTTTTGCACACTTTTCTTACATTACATTCCATGACATTTGGGCAATTTTAATTTTAAATAACTTGTAAATAGTTCCTGTTCCCAGATTTCCCTCAGGAAGGTGCCCACATCACATCATATCATGCAGTAGTAACTGCTGCCTTAAACATAATACATAAACGCCTTTCTTTTTCCTCTCTCCTATGTTCGAGGCTAAAAATGGCAAGCCGGTGATTGCTTCCTCTGAAATCCTATGTACTTTCAGAAACCCACTGGGGAAGCTAATTAGCAGTAAGAAATACTATACTTTGATCTATGTTCAGGAGGCCAGCTGCCATATTTCCAATTCAAGTTCAAACTGAATATGTGATTGTATCTTAGTCACACATGTTCTACTCTTTTGAGCTATAAATACCCATTTTAACCAGGACATACACACAGAGAGATGTATGGATACCAGGACTTCTTTATAAAATGGGATATAGCTGCAGGTCAAAGCTGCTGTGATAAATATGCTCCCTGCAATAAAAAAAAAGACTGAATATTTTTAGGAAGTACAGGGGTTGGCAAAAGCACAGGTGGTTTGTGAATGGGCAATCCATCACCCAGTCATCATGTATTCACCACATTTTCAAAATATTGAATAAGTGACTTTTGTTCAATTTAATTCTCATCACTCCCAAGACAATTGAGAAATTGGATTATAATCCAAAATGTCTAGATAGCATCATACTGGAAAAAAAAAACTACTAAATACTATTGCATTTTGATTACTCTTTTATTTCTGTTAAAAGATTTTTAATTGAGGGCATCTTGGATTTCCCCTAAGTAGTATTACATACTACTCATCTATCTCAAAAGCCAATGGATTGACAACATATACTTATTAAGTCTTAAAAAGTCCTCATAGCAGCAACAGTAACACAATAAAAAGATTTTATATGCCTACCTTTCTAGCATTAGACGATATTGTGTTGGCCATTAAAGTTTCCAAATAACTACTGAGACTAACACCTTTTACTGTAATAATTGCTTCTTGAGTTAGAAGAGTCCTAGAGAAGGAAAAAAATTAAAAAGTTAGACTACAAAGGATTCTTAATTTTCACACTTTTGTTTAAGCAGAAGAGCTAAACTTACTTTTCAGGATTTTCAGGATGAGGTGTGTAAACTAATCGTTCGTCCACTGATACAAGATTTGTAAGCGTTATCTTAGAAAAATAAAGACCAAAATTAGTTATTTTATAATTTCTGACTTACTCTTTCATATTAAATGAAAAAAATCTTAAATAAAAGGACCATTTTAAAAATGGTGAAATCTTAAACCTATTGTTGTGGACTGTAGCCATAAGAGTTTCAAGGCTCATAGTTTAAGTATCAATATAAGCAGAATAACTGACTGTGATTCTTTTAGGATGCCCATTCTACTCTCAAACCTATAATCCTCAGCATGACTTTCCTAAGGTTTACTTTGGAGATACTGAATATTATCTAGCGTTCTGTCCTTGTTTACCACCTTGGTCTTACATATTTTCAAAAAATCTTCAAACCTTGTATTAAAAACATCTATAGAGAAAGCATTCAGCAAGTCTCTTGTCCTGCAAGCAAAACACCCAACAGACTTCATTACTTACATTTGTGGAGCTCAATACCATTTTCTTTTCCACAGGATCAACTACTGAATGTTCTTTAATGTATGTAACAGTTCTATTTGTTCCCAAAATCTTGAAGAAAAAAAAGAAAAAAAAATGAAAATTAATCCAAAGTCACATGATCAGAAATTATGCAATAAACACAAATCTTTAAAAGTATGGTTCCCCACAGACACTGTAATTCTTTCTCCTAACAAAACGATATTAAATATTTATCACTAGAATCATGCAAGGTCAAAAATGATAATTGTATTAAGAAGCCAAAAGGGTAATAATTTAGGAAGTTAATTGTAACTTACAGCTTTTACAATATTTGGTAGACCCCATTCTGTGCTAAGTAATCGATGACTATGTAACCTTCCTTGATTATCAAGGCTTCGGTCCAGGACATCAACTCCTACCACTGATGGGTTCATAGGATTGGGGTATTTTCTCATTGCAGCTTTTATTACAGTATCCCATGGATGCCTGAGAAAAATGAAATAGAACAGAATTAATCAACGTACATCTTTAAGAAGGTTCAATGCAAGTAGCAATTATTTTAATTTGTATTAAAGAATGCCCACCCAAAGGAATCGGTATCTCCTGAATCTCCTTACATTTTAATTCTTCTCCCAACTTTTCCTATCCATATTATGTTAGTTAAGAGAAAGTAAATGTACGCATTTTTTAAAATGAACATCCGTCCACACCCACAATCCAAAGGACGTTAAGTGTAGCCTAACATAAAATTAATGTACAATAAAATGATTTGCTAATGTTCTAAAGAATAAAATCTTCATGTGTAATGAACTTTTAATGTTGATTCTACTTTATATTCTTCAATTGGAAGAATTATATCAGAATTTGTTTTAGCATGAGCAGCATTACAAGAACATCATACTATTACAATACCAATGTGTAGAGTTGTAATTGCAGGAATGTTCCAATCTCGGATGGCAAACCTCAGATAAAGAATGTTTCCAAGCAAATACAACTCGGGTAAACAAAGTCACTAATCTAAAGGAGGATTAGAGAGAGGAAGTAAACATACGTTAGACTTTAACTAGAGATAATTAATTGTATGGATTACTGTGCTAAACAATAACAAAAGTTAAGCAGTAACCAAAGTTAACCAGTGATGGAGGATAACTAAAAATGTGTATAAATGCAAGACTAGACTAAATAAAGATCATCATGATTAAATAAAGATCATCATGATTCAGTTGTTCATGATCAAACAACTCGACTGCCTCGTCATTACAACACCAATGCAAATATTATTCATTTTAAAAACCAACAAGACAAACTTTCTCAGTAGAAAGTTCCTATCTAGGAACGGTCAAAGGAAAATCTTTCAGGTTATCAATTCAATCCTGTATTTAAGATTTTCTTAAAACAGAGCTCTTTTAATCACCAGTGCCAACAATGTATTTAGAAATTGTTTCAATTGTGGTTATGAGTTTTTAAAGTAGTTTTCAGTCTTGTGTCACATCCACTTGACCTGGAAATATTCTCTCATTTCTATTCGTTTGTCTCTTTATCCCTACCACATTTCTGGAAGTTTTAGATTTCTAGATAGCTTTCATCTGTCACTTTTAAAATCTATTTATATTTTCCATTTATGCTGAATTCTGATGGCTCCAGAAAACTGACTATGCAAATGAAATATTTGACAAAGGCATCAGGATTCAATGCATGCCTATTCAAGAAACTAGGTCAGTTTGAAAACTATTGGTGGTAAATCTAGAAGTATCCAACATAAACCAAACAACCTTTGTTCCCTACTTGCCTCAGGCTGCTGAATATAATAAGTCAGCACTTAACATGGGTATATTCTGAACATGTAAGCTGGACTTTGATTTTTAGAAGTAGCTTTAGAATTAGATCACTGGAATTGAAAGGAGAAGAGTAGAACCTGATCCTTCTATAGGATCAACTTTTCCACATCCCTCTTTTATGGCTCTGTTGCAATTCCCATATGCTAAAATTTACACAGCTTGAGCTTCGATAATTAATACTTGCCTGGAGGTTTAATTCATTTATACATCATTTATTCTTTTAGTTAACAGCTCTTCCATAATTTAAAATTGAACTGTACAGTAGAATTTGAAATGGCTAGTACAGTGTCCCTAGAGTAACAGATAACAGAAACCACAGAACAATTGTTAACAGAATAAGATGAAAGGAGAAAGGATGCAGATACATTAAATACTACTGTTTAAAAACTGTGCTGACTGTATACAAAAGGGAATCTTAATTGTGTGAAGGGATACCAGAGCACCAGGGCAAGGTTACTCACCACCATATTCAAAGGCATTCTTATGCAAATGTCTCACTGAAATTTACAATATTTTCTGAATCTTTCTTACATAGAGTAACAAACCAAATGTCTAACATCTATAACCATGCTTTTGTTCAGGGTTCTTCTGCATATCCTTGGTGAGGAGGCCTGTGATTTCTATAATCTGGGCCTGCCAATAAAATATACTTTGTTGGATCTATTTTCAATCACTTTGGTTCTTAATTTAATAGGAGCAACAATATTTCCTCCAACACAGGGGAAAAGCCAGTATAGTCTAGTAGTTAAGGTGCTGGCCTAGGAACCAGAAGACCATGAATCCTAGACCTGTCTTAGACATGAAAAACTGGCTGGAGGACTTTGGGTCAATCATTCTCTCAGCCCAGTTCATTTCACAGGATTGTTGTTGTGGGGAAAATAGAAGGAGCAAGGAGGAGTATTAGGTATGTTTGCCACCTTAAGTTATTTACAAATAACAACACATTATATAAAAATAAAATAAAATGCTCAAAATGGTCTTTTTTGATGTGCCCTGTCAATTTCAAATCACATTAAATGTATCTTTTAGCATGAGTCTTAACAAAGGAAAAATAATTGCAACAAGAACTTCACCAATTCATATCAGTAGTACAATCTCATTCAGTGTGCCAGAACATTCCATTCTTTCTTTCCAAATCTGAAAAGCTGACAGGAACTTTTTCTTAGGCAATGCATATTGGTAGTTATCGGTTAACAACCACTTGTTCAGCAACTATTCAAAGTTAGGACAGGGTTGACAAGTGATACTTACGACCAGTATTCATATTTGTGCCCATCTCAACATTCCTGCAATCAATCACATGACCACAATTCAGGAGCTTGGCAACTTACAGCATCCTATGATCACCATTTGTGACCTTCTCTGCTGGCTTTCTATAAGAAAGTCAATGGGAAGCCAGTATGGAAGGTTGCAAGTTACTATAGTAAATAATTCCCACTCTTCTTTCTCTCAAAGAAATCCCAAACCATGGGCCCAGGCAGGTAGGCAGCCACCTATCTGTTTGCTCTTGTACTGAGCACACATATGCTGGCTTTGCTGGGCTCACACAACAAATTACCCACATACACACTTCTGCATCCCAGGTCCTCAAACACCTGCTGCCCTGCTTGTAAAGCCACCGAAGGAGACTTGCAACTTCCTGCCAGCTTCCCCATTGTCTTTACTTGCTGGAAGCTGATAAGTATTCACAAGTCACAATCACATGAGGTCCTCACTTAACAACTATGATCCTCACTTAATAACAGCAACAGGATCTGCTGGGGTTGTTAAGAACTGGTTATGTGACATCACACTTGCTTAGTGATAGAAATTCCAGTCCGAATTATTGTCTTTAAGTGAGCTCTACCTATACAGTTTATCTTCTGGCACTTCCAGATAAGATTTTATTTATTTATTTATTTATTTTATTTATTTTATTTTATTTATTTGATTTGCCAATTGTTTACAAGATAATAAGTATAAATGTATACATAGTTGTGAATACATGAAATGGTTACATATAGGAAAAATAAAAGAATAGGAGAAACAATAGGACAGGGACGGTAGGCACGTTGGTGCGCTTATGCACGCCCCCTACAGACCTCTTAGGAAAGGGGTGAGGTCAATAGTAGACAGTCTAAGGTTAAAGTTTTTGGGGTTTGGGGAAGAAACTACAGAGTCGGGTAGAGTATTCCAGACATTGACCACTCTATTGCTGAAGTCGTATTTCCTGCAATCAAGTTTGGTGCGGTTTACTTTGAGTTTGTATCTATTGTGTGCTCTTGTGTTGTTATGGTTGAAGCTGAAGTATTCATTGACAGGTAGGACATTGCAATGTATGATTTTGTATACCATGCTTAAGTCAGACCGAAGACGGCGTAATTCAAGGTTTTCTAGTTCTAGAATTTCAAGTCTGGTGGCATAAGGTATTCTACAGCGAGTAGAGGAGTGGAGAACTCTTCTTGTGAAATATTTCTGGACTTTCTCAATTGTGCTAATATCAGATACGTAGTGTGGATTCCAGACTGATGAACTGTATTCGAGTATTGGTCTAGCAAATGTTTTGTATGCTCTGGTTAGTAGTGTGATATTACCAGAGAAAAAGCTACGTAGGATTAGGTTAACAACTCTTAATGCCTTTTTGGCTATGTAGTTGCAGTGAGCTCTAGCACTTAGATCATTAGAGGTGAGTATTCCCAGGTCCTTTACAGAGCTTGGGTCATCAACAAGATCTTGACTATTCAGCTTGTATTTTATTTTCTGATTTTTTTTGCCAATATGTAAGACAGAGCATTTATTTGTTGAGATTTGAAGTTGCCATTTGTTTGACCATTCGGATACATAGTCAAGATCTTTTTGTAGGGTAGCAGTATTGTCTGTGGTATTGAACAGCTTTACATCATCAGCGAAGAGAACGCAATTGCTCTTAATATGATCACAGAGGTCGTTTATGTAGAGTATGAAGAGAGTTGGTCCTAGAACACTGCCTTGGGGAACACCACTATTGACAGGTACTGGATTTGATAGGACGCTCCCGATTTTGACCATTTGTTGTCTGTTTGACAGGAATGCTTCTATCCAGTTATTCAGTTGTCCAGAGATACCATAGGATTTTATTTTTAGGAGTAGTTTGTCGTGTACCACTGAATCAAAGGCTTTACAGAAGTCTATGTAGATTGCGTCTATTGTTTTGCCCTGGTCGAGTTGTGTCGTCCATATGTTTTTGCAGTGTAAGAGTTGCAGATTACAGGATAGTTTTTTCCTGAAACCAAATTGTTTATTGGAGAGTAGGTTATTTGTCTCTAAGTGAAGGATGATGGATTGGTTAATAATTGATTCCATGACTTTACAGGTGACGCAGCATAAGGAGATTGGCCTGTAGTTTTCAACTAGGCTTGGGTCTCCCTTTTTGAAGATGGGGATGACTGTGGCTTGTGACCATAGGTTAGGCAAGGAGCTGGTTCTGAAAGATTTTTCAAAGATTATGCTTAGAGGTTTGGCTATGGCAGAGGATAGCTTTCTTAAGAAGTAGGCACATATTCCGTCCGGTCCAATAGATAGAGATGGTTTTAGGTTGCGTATTGCTTTTTCAACATTGTCTTCTGTGAAATCTATATGTATTAGATCATTGTTGTTATCTGTGGTACGGCTAGGAAATATTGGGCATGATCCATTGCTGTTTACAAATACTGAGCCGAAGAATGTGTTAAAGATGTTGGCTTTAATGGTGTCGTCGTTGCAGTCTTTACGATTGAAGCTTTTGCTGACAGTTAAATGTTTGATACTAAATGTCAGACAAATAATAATGTGAATTTTTAAAACTAAAGGTAAATATAATATATGTTATATTACACCACTCAAATTGACTATCTCAAGTTTCGGGATTTAATCTTAGATAAACTTTGGCAAGATGACAGATATTCTGGGGTGTTGGTCCACTGATATACATCATACCAATCATGCAGTTCTTTGTCTAGTTAAGCAATGTTATGCAAATCTTAGAAAAAGAGTAACACTTAAACAAAAGATTTAAAAGACAAAAAAATAAGATCAGGAAAAGACACCTTCAATACATGTCCCAGTTTCGGTTTTTACCTTTTCTATATGCCATTTCAAACAACCCTAATGATCTTTGTCTTCCCCTTCACATACTTGTTTCGCAATTTGATCCTCAATCTTTCCCTGTGACCAAGCCATTAGCATTCTTCTTTTATACTGCTTGCTCATTTTTGTATTCAATGCTCATTCAACAGCATGCATTCTTATTTCATAAATTTATAAGCTATCCCCCTCCCCTTGAGTTTACCTCTTTTTGCTTTTATATTTCTTTTGATATATTCAACACTCATTTCTATACAATAAATTAGGCAAAAGCACATTCACACAGCCAGCCATATTAAATTATTGGGACAATTTTTTTTTAACCACTGTACACATTCCACCTGCTACCTTTGCATCACATTTTGCATGTCTTAAAAACATATCCACCTGCTGTTTCCATTTCTAGTGGAAGGAGCACTGACAAATATTAAGTATAAGTAGCACTATCTTCTATTTTCATTCTTTAAAAAATGATCCTCCACCAAGAAATTATTTCACATATTAATTAAAAAGTTTTCCCTTAGCAGAATATTATTGATGTAATTAGAAGAGGGTCCTATAAATTTTGGTAGGAAACTGCAGCCACAGGTTTATATTCTCATTTTTATATCTATTGCAGAATAAAAATGCAGATTTAAAATAGCTGAAATGTCAGTAACGAGATTACAAGCTTTTCATCACACCAATATGTGCAATCTTAAGGCTTATGCAATCTAACCAGACACTGTACAGAAAGGTGATAAGTTCACATCGAGATGTCCTGAAACATTCAGGAAAAAAAACCTCGCAAGGATTAGAGTTCCATACTTAACTGTACTCCTCATGCTTAAAAAAAATTAAATGCTTCAGAGCCACTCTGCCATTTATTAAAATACCCTCTTTTCTTTAGGCTTTCATGGAAGTCTAAAAAAGGTGTGACTGTTTAAAGGCATCAATTCATTGCCTTCAATGTGTTGCTTAAAGCAGCAGCACCTTTTCAGAATCACCCAGAAGCCTGAAAATTAGAATAGCTGAATGATGCTATGTTGGGCTCTTTCAAATTCATTCTATTAATTATACAGAAACACATTCAGTATCAGCTGGAAGAACTGTATGAGGTTCTGGGAAAAGATCAGTGAATAGAAAAGACCTATGGTTTATCATGAAATTTCATAGGATTATTTCATAATAACATAGCTATTTACCAGCATGTTACTAACTCAAAAAAGTTGACAAAGAAAAAATGGATTTAGAAAGCAAAATGTTTCTTATGTATACATACAGAAAAACATAAACCAGGAAAAAAAAACTCCGGATTTTTCATAACCAAAACACTCAATATGTCAAAACAGTGGAGGCCAGAGAGCAAGATTTAGGACTAGTTTTACTTGTCACTTAATCAAACTGTTTATTTCAAATTGCATAGTTACCAGAAAACTACTTCTAAAAACCTCAGAACAAGTAAGGGTTTTAAGATAAACCACAAAGGGCTACCCAGCCTGGATCAAAAACATTCATAGAGGAAGAAAACACCCAACTTTATGACCTTCCAGCATCCTAGCAGAAGTGTCATCTTACCAGTTTCCGTTAGAGGGCAAGTCAAGAACTATTTTGCCCTGCAATAAGAACAGGAAGGAAACACTAGGGGGGAAAGACCTAGTTAGTATAAATACTGAATTAATGCTTTAAAGGTATCAAAATGAGTGCGACTCTATCTAAATCCACCCACCAATACCGGCCAACTTTTGAAGCTCTTCCCACTTTTCACCTGAGTCTTCAACATCAGGACTGTGAGGTCGGCAAAGCTACAACAATTAGGCAGAGACGTTGTAGGAGACGGGTTTCCCTGGCGCTACCCAAAAAGTTGGGGGTTACGGGCTGCGTTCACACAACATCTAGAATCAAAATTGAGCTGGAAGAGACCTTGGAGGTCTTCTAGTCCAGCCCCTCTGCTCAAGCAGGAGAACATATACCATTTCAGACGTCCACTCTCTTCTTAAAAAGCCTCCAGTCCAAACGAGGCTGCCTCTTTGTATCTTCGAACGAGGCCGTTCCGGGGATCCAGGAGGGGTGGTTTGTCAATCGTGGGTTATAGGTTAGCCCACTGCGCAAACTGCCCAAGAAATAAACCACGATTTCATTAGCTCCAGCAGAGTGGATCACTTCAGCCTTTTCCCATTAAAGAGAGCAAGCTAGGAAAAGCTGGAGGTCTTCAAGAGAGAGCGGGCTAGAGAGGAACCCGTGTTGGATCTCTCGCTACGTCCCCGCCGAGGCGAAGCGTCCCTTCCTTCCGCCCTCCCTTACCCGAATTCGTGTTCTGAACTCCAGATCTTCATCCTACAAAGAGCGGCGGCGGCGGCGGCGACTGGGGCTGTGCGGCGGAAGGCACCGGCTTTCTGGGCTCAGAAGGAAAAGACGCAGCTTCCCGGATAGGAATGTGGCCGGAGACGTCAAGCTCTGCGTCACCAAGGCAAAGGCAGAGACCATCTCCTGGGTCAACCACTCTCGGCTCTCGCAGGCTGGAAAAGGCGGGCCGAGCGCGTAAGGAGAGACGGCAACGCCCTTGAAGCCGGAGACGCCGAGTTCACCTTGTCGGTGGGCGTGTGGTTTGCGTCGTCATTGCTACGCGGCTAGGCCACGCGCCCGCCTCTGTGAGCGGCCGGCCTTCCCTACCCCCACTCTTCCCTAAAGCGGCTTTTCGTTGAGCGAGTGGCCGCGCGCGGGAAGTTTTAGTAAAGGTGGCCTCGGCCCAGTCGAGTCCGTGCCGAAAGCAGAATAATATATTTCGGGTTTGCTGGATTTTTATTTGATGAAAGATGCAATCCGGTACTCCTTTATCTTACCGGAACAGTGTTTCATTTCTCAACCTTGGCAATTTTTAGGTCTGGACTTCAACTCCTAGAAGGGGAATTCTGGGAGTAGAAGTCCAAACCTCTTGAAATTGCTAAAGTTGAGAAACATTGCAGTAGAACTTCAGAATGGACAGCATTTTACTTTAAAGAAGAACCTTCTTGTTTTAATATACGCTTGGCTAAATCCACTGAATTTAATAATCTATTGTGTTGGATCATTAATTTTAATTAAAACAAAAAGAAACTCAGGTATAACGTAGCCCTATCAGATGGGCATGTTCACATAATACCGTAGGTATTTGGGTTCAACAGAATTGACAGCATTGTGCAATTTCAGCTGTTACCTAATGTACAGTATCACTACTATGTGTACTACAACCCCAGACATCTGTAGTTCAGCCAACTGGATTAGATGGTTCAGCCAACTGGATTAGATTTAATGTCAAAAAAAAATTTCTAGATGCCCAGTACAAATTTACTTCCTTGTAATTTAAACTCTTAGCAGTGATACACACTTTTAGGTCCCTTCTAAACCATTTTTTTAACCTGGAGAAAGGGTAGACCGGTCATGCATTGATGCAATAGTAGTGTGAACAAAGATCAAGATAAAACTTTTTTTTGCTATTGATGCCCTTGCTGCTTGTCAGAATGCCCTAGAACTCAGAGTATCACATTTATATATTCCAGTTCAAGCTGATTCAGCAAGGGCATCAGTTGCACCTACCATGCCATTGTAAAATTGAAGTATGGAAAAAAAGGTGACCTTAACTCGCTAAAAGAATGCAAATCTCCAGCTGTCTGCAAAGAGTATAAATCCTTCCATTCCCCACCATCCAGTCAGACAGAGGTGGTATTCAGCAGGTTCTGACCAGTTCTGGAGAACTGGTAGAGGAAATTTTGAGTAGTTCAGATAACCGGCAAAAACCACCTCTGACTAGCCCCACCCCCATTTATTCTCTGCTCCTGAGTCCTAGCTGGTTGGCTGGATCTTCTTTTGTTGCCCTGCACAGGAGAATGGAACTGGAAAGCAGGTTAGTAGGGTGGGTAAGGAATGGCGATTTTGCAGTAACCTTCCCCTAGAGTGAGGTGGGTATTGAGATTTTACAAGATCCTTCCCCTGCCGTGTCCACCAAGCCACGCCAACAGAACTGGTAGTAAAAAAATTAGAATCCCACCACCGCAGTCACAGCTGAAGAAGCTTCTTAGATGAGAAGCAAAACATCTTCAAGAAAATCAGGAAGTCAAGTTGCCTCTTGAAAAAAAAAACCTTTGGGACAACCATGACCTGGATAACTGAGAATCTCCATAGACATATAGAAAAAAACAGTTTTTCAGATTTGGAGCAGACTTGAAACCATGCTTTTTATTTCCTGGATAAAAAGGTAAAGGTTCCCCTGCACATACGTGCTAGTCGTTCCTGACTCTAGGGGGTGGTCCTCATCTCCGTTACAAAGCCGAAGAGCCAGCGCTGTCCAGAGAGACGTCTCTGTGGTCATGTGGCCGACATGACTAAACGCCAAAGGCACGTGAAACGCTGTTACCTTCCCACCAAAGGTGGTCCCTATTTTTCTACTTGCATTTTTACATGCTTTCGAACTGCTAGGTTGGCAGAAGCTGGGACTAGTAACAGGAGCTCATTCCATTACTCGGCGCTAGGGATTCGAACCGCCAAACTACCGACCTCTCTGATTGACAAGCTCAGCATTTTAGCCACTGAGCCACCAGGGCCCTATATTTCCTGGATAATTACCATTTAATTAGAAAACAGTTTGTGTTCATTGAGTATAATTGCTGCAATTCAATTATTTGAACATAAATCCCTATTGTATTCCTCACCAACAAGAATCTAGCAGTCCAGTTTCCAACATCAGATGTTTTTAAGAATTCTGGAAAAAAAAAAAACAAGCCAGTTATATTTGATTTGCTCTGCGCAAGCCAAATTATTATATGGTCTTGAAGCAAAAGCATACAAAAGAAAGTCATCTTTATCCTCCTCTGCGAAACTCTTTATGTATGAAGAAAGTCTGCAAATATAATTCAAAACTTACAACTTTTCAAACTTATTATCTCTGCTTGTGCAACTTTGGTCCGGATTTTGGGGTACTTTAGCTGATCTTTTTCATGTTTGTAAAGATCCTTCTGGAAAAGCACGGAAGCGCAGTTTGCCCGAAAACTGCTGCCTTGGGGAGTAGCGGCGCTTCCACAAGAAACGACCCCCAGGGCTGCAAAAAGAAACGGAACGCTCGCTGGCAAAGGGCAGCCGCGGTGACACTCTGCGCGCGCATGGGGAGGAGGAGGAGGAGGAGGAAGACGTCGACGTGATGACGCAGACGAAGCGCCAGGAGCGTGGTCCAGCCCCTTCAAGAGGCGTGAGAGAGTTATGCTTGTGGGGCCTTTAGGCCTGTTTGGGGGGGCCATGGCTCACCGCTGCCTCTGGCTGTCGCGCGGTTGTTGCCGGCGCACTCCTACCGGGGTCCCCGGAGCTCAGCTGCAGTTTTGGTCCCGAGGTCGAACTGGCCCTTCCCGCTCCTTGAGACAGGTGAGTGAGTCACATACGCAGGGCAAGGGCAGATGGGTGTCTTCTTTCCTATGCCTCCACTGCTGCCCTCCCCACCCCCATAAGCTCTGCTTGAGCCCCTAATCACCCGAATGGACTGAGCCAGCGGCTGGGACGAAGCAAATGTGCGTAGCTTGCGGTTTGGCTCGCGGCAAGAACACAACAGATGCCTGTTCAGATCAGGACCGCTCACTTTAGGGTAACCTGAATACTAATGAATATCCTATAATCTTCTAAAACGGAGCATACTCTGCAGTAGACTTAAGAGTGGACTTCAACATCGTCAGAAAGCTTTTAAAAAACACTTTACAGTGCAACAAAATCCCCTGCTCTCTGTCATGTGCTGGGATTCTCGTAAAATGCTTGACTAAATCTTGATCCCATAAGGAAGCAAGAATTTTATTCCGCATGATTTTTAGCACATATTAATTATGCTTTAGTTATCTGGTAAGTAATTGTAGAAAAAAATATTATTTGGGAAAGAGATTAACTTAAAGAAGTTTTGTTCCATTATAAGTTGCGGAAAAGCAGCTCCCCTCAAGATTTTCAAAACCAGCCCCCAAAATATATAGTGGACGGGTGGACCACTTACCATGCTAAACCATAACATGGTAGGTTTGTTGCTTATGTAATCCAGTCCTTCATATTCATATTACTCAGTGAATCCCAGCTTAGCACAACCTTACCTAACTTTAAAATTGTTAAACAGAAAAATAAGACTTCTGTTAAATTTGTTGCCAGAAATTTACAGCATTCAGTCTCAAAGATGCTTTTTCAAAAGGCAACTGGACTATCTTTTTTCTTTAAGATAAAAAACAGCCTGATGGCCTTTTGAAAAAGTATCTTTAAGACAAGCATGAGATTCAGTGAGAATCTCCATATACATTTGGTACAACATTCTATTTCCCCTTTACCAGACAATTTTATTTCTAACATGGATTGTTTATTCTTCATCTCCTACTCCTTGCATGGACTTTCTGATCGTTTCTGGTGATCAGTGTATTGTTTGATATGAGGCTTTTGTAACTTTTAAGAAATTCCAAATGTGATCTCTGTATGTCTGTGATATTGTTGCATGTTAAAAGACATTTCCAAGTACTGCTTTCCTGGGGCTCTCATATGAATTCAGAAGAAGTTAGGGAATGTACAGTATAGTGGAAGTGTGACATCAGTGAGATATAATCCTAGATAGGTTTATGTAAATTCAAATCTAAGAGAATATTGGATGCAGTTTACCAGTAATCCTTACTGTAAGCATCTTAAGTTACTTTATGTGCATACAATTGTACTAAAAAAATCTGAAAAGATTTTCATTCTTAACAATTATTCTCATTTTTTTCAGCTTCATGATAAAGTGATCTCCCAGGTTCCTACAAACAGAAGCAGTCTCCTTGTAAATGTAATTGCTGCTTACCAAAAACTCTTTTCCCAACCTCCAAAAGGTAATTATTGTTATATAATAATGATGCCATATAGCTTACATACTGTTATCTCCTGTATGTAAAAGTATGTATACAGGTAACAAGACTTATTCTGAATTGTAAGAGATACATATGAAAATGATTTGCAGATTATATTGTGGTTTTAAAATACTCAAATTCAGTCACTTTAAATAAATCCACTGAGATAAAAGGAATCTAACTCTCATTAATTTCAAAAGATTGTTCAGAGTATGATTATTTCTGAAACCAATCAATGTTTCATATATTTATTGTACATATTGTCATTTTCTGCAAAATGTGTATTTTATTAAAAAGTAGCAAAGATTAATATGTAATCAATTGTATTCAATGAAATTTCCATTTCCATTTGGAAAATTCTTTATACCATCTTAAAAAAATATACAGCAGCTACATCTTCCTCAAATACTATAATGTCTATAATACTTACTGGAAGCTAGTGATGTGCAATGAGATTTTAAACTCATAATATGCATGCTTCTACTTTTCTATAAGTTTCAACATCTTAAAATTCTATCAATATAATTGTGCATGTATTTTCATCATTTTTGAAAACTTTCTCTAGCTCCAGATTCTTTCAAATCAAAATATCTTTTCTTTTAGTTTAAA